CTTTGTACAAGAATTCATTTTCGATGAAATTATTTATTGATTCGAAGGGATTGGTCTCTCTTGTGATGGTTTCTTTCTTTTGAGTGTCTTATTTCTCAGAAACATTTTGCTCATTATTAGCCTATTTCGAAGATGCTCTATCAGGAGATAGACTTGGTGACTTTTGGGAATTCAAATCATCATGTCTGACATCCTCATCGTCTTCTCTTATCTCATCAATTTGAGAAGTGAGTTTCTTGTTTTTTTAGACTTCCACATTCTCTTCTTTTTTCTCTCTCAATTATCGCAAAAAGACTATCACTTTTGGTTTGATAATTTCCCAAATGTTCAATGAAAACTGTATTAAAAATATGGTTGAGAAGTGATATTAAGCATGCTTCAAACAATCATCATTTATACAAGTCAAACCTACTTTCTAAAATATACAAGCAGATTACCTTATGTCCAAACATGATTTCAACCACTGGTCCACAGAGTGCAAAAAAGGATAGGAAATACTTCTTAAATACAAAATTGGTCTCATATTCTGTTATTGTCTTGTGATTCTCATAATCAGTCAATGAGCCAGCTGTCTTGTCAAAAAAAGGATCCAAAATCAGAATCACTATTAAGTTAACTAAAGCAGGGATAGTTACTGATAATTAAGCAACACCATTGCCAATCAAATTTTCAATTTCCTTTGTTTTTTGTAACTTCTCAGAAAAATAAAATATACCTATAACAATGCCAACATAAATTCCCAAGATACTTATTTAAATCAAAAGAGTCAATAAAATTCTCATAAACTTTTTGAGATCCGAATAATTTAACGTATTCAGATTATCATTTTCAATTGATCTTTCATAGTTACCCACAAAATCAGATCTCTATTAAGCCTACTCTCCTGATCCTCCTCCACCTTAACCATATTGTGCTGCAAACACCTTCTCTCTCTGCTACCATAAATCATACATCAAATTAGCCCATTAGATTTAAATCATACCAAATATTATTTGAGGCATAACGTAATTATAATCATTCTGATTCCAAACCAACAATTGAATTATACTAATTATCAACCCTATAAACCCGATTGGCAATAACATCATAGTATAATAACCCAAAAATGTAAAGTACAAGGCAATTTTCTCTCCATAATACTCCCGAATTTATTAGGTTGGAATGAACCAGGGTTATTTATATTCAAATCGCCAAATGAAGGCCAAGTTCTCTAACTTTGGAGTCACGTAACTATAATCATTTAGGATGTATTTGTTAGGCCCTCTCTTATCTTGAGCTTAATAATGCTTGAGTTCTCGATAGAAATACGTATATTGAGCATCCTTCAATATAATCTCAGGGTCGTATTCCTCCTCAAATAATGGATCAAATAGTTATTTATTTGACTTGCCAAACAATTCAAAATCGTCACTTAAACAAAATGCCGAAATAGCAAGATTTCTAGAAAATAGAATAGAGAAATTGATTTTCTCACCTAAAGCCAAGTTATTCAGCTTCATTCTCTCCATAGTAGAAAACAATGAGATCCTCCCTGTTTCAGTGACTCGATACTTCTTCCATATGGAATTCATTTTGATCTGTTGACTGAATGCAACGTTCTTAGGAGTAATGCTATAGGGAATGAAAGGCTCAAAGGGTTGGATTCCAATGATATCCCAAATTGTATATAACTACCTATTCTAATAGTTCGTGACTTCCAATCCTTCTTACAATAATTCAAGGTAACTCATAGCTAGCATTTCTCTCTTTGATGCTTTGATCTACCTACTGGTGACTTTCTTGTAACTTGGCAAGTGGAAGTAACTTTTAATAAGACTGTATTTATTTTAGATCGATCTCTGTTCTAAGACTATATGAAATATTCCCTTGAGAACTCTGTAGATATCATTGGGTCTGCCGTGCAATTGAATTTCTTGTTCGATCTGTTCTTCGGAGACAAATTCTTCTAATTTCTTGATTTCCGACATTTTAAGATTCTCCAACATCTGATCATTAGGAAATCTTTATTTATATAGATGATAGGGTGTTCTATTAATAGTCAATGCTCTTTCATTATCAATCCTGAATGCTTCTCTTAATTATTTCATTGGTTGTTTGAGATACATAAGATATGAGTAATAAGCAGACCACATGGCATCGGTTGGTCCATCAAATTCAATGATGTCTTCAGATCCCTCTTTGGAGAATAATTGTTGATTCAACTGTGACAGATTCAATTCCCTGGCTATTTTTTTGAAGTTGATTTCTTAGAGTAATTCTTGGATTTTTGGTTTTAAATACAGAAAGTTTTCTGAGAGTTTTTCAGAAGCATATTCCTCAGGATCTCTCCATAATCTATTGTTCAATCTCAAAGGCCGTAGATTTTTATCCACAGGTTCCAAGGAGAGCAGGTCTGAGAATTGCATGTACAATTATTTAGTGATTTAATGCGTTTAGGCTACTATACCCAAATTTTGGTCACATTGATATAGGACAACGAATATGATTGCCCCATTTTTAGATAGGAACTGTCTCAAATTGAATCCAGTTTTAGATAATTGAATCATTACTATGTGTCTAATAAGAGTGGTGAAATCCTATGTGTCATTTCTAGTGCGAATCCACTCCTTTTTTGCATTGTCATATTGAAAGTAATTTCCCTTAGCCATTTTATACTTGGTTTTGCTCTTATTCAATTTGTCATAATCCAGATTGAAGATTTCCTTGATTGCCTATAATTTATTGCCCTTAACGGTTTATTTAATAGCTCTTAGTTTATTGTCGATTTTCATAGCAGCCAGAGAAAGTTTATCATTTTCACCTCCTGCACGCATTAAGTTGGAAATCTTCTTCTTCTTTTTGGTCTTCAATTTCTCTTCGTCATCATCGCTGTCCTAAACTATTTCTTCGATCGGAGCCTCATCATCATCAAAGACTTAGGACAACATAAACAAACTGGCCTCAATGGCTTTGAGAAAGACTAAGTTATCAATGACTTCAAAGTCTGTTCCACTATTTTTGAGATTGAAACTATTCATACATAAAGTGATGGCTTCCATGGGAGACATTTAAGACACATATTCTACTTCTGGAGAATCGGGATTTGGGAAACTAGATTTAAATCTATAAACAACCTTAAAACCACATCGCCCATATGATAATCGAATTCATCTACATATTCAAAACTATTCTTCATTTTGAGTATTCTTCCTTTTTCAGTTGATCTATGATCTAAATATTCTAGAAATTCCTCATCCTCCTTCTCGTCCAATTCTCGACCCATAATCAATTTCAGATACAAATAATAAACTTTCGATAACTTCTCTGTATATCTCACTCGTTACTTTTATTCCTTCTGAGGTTCTTACTCCTCATTCTATTTTTGCACATTGAAAATAGTCTCTATGAATTGATCATTCATCTAACCAGAAATCCGTTTTGTTCCTGGCTAGTCCAAATCATTGCTCTTACTTAATGGCAATGGGCTGTTCATCCTTTTTATTAATTAAAATTATATATAATTTAAATTTCTATTCTCAAACTCGACAAAAACATAGTGACCTACATACCCTAAATCATATCCTCACATCGGAATACTCATTAAATATCTAAAAACACTCATTGTTGAATTAGATGCGTATTCTTATAATTAGATTTCTTATTAATAAATTCAGCATAATTAGTATATGAATAGATAATCCATAAATGATTATTAAAAGTGACAAAGTTACGCTTACACAACAGAATCAAACCTTAGTTATCAGAAGAGTATTTTATTTGAACATGATATCAAAATACTATTTCATTAAAAACCAAAATAAATATATAATTCGACCATTCCATTGAATTTGATTTCAGATCTATTCTTTATTCTTCTCTTCTCAGAAAATAATTGTTATTTAATAATATTGATGCTCAAATCTATTGAAAAGAATGAAATCAAGTTATTTCAATGTAGAGTATATTTTTACTCAAAATTATGAGAAGTAATTCAGATAACTAAGGGATAATGTAAGGTAATCGAAAGATAGGAATTTGCGTATCTATCCAAAATTAAACTTAAAACGTAAATCAATATTTTATGTTAAATTGATTTCTAGTATAAATAATACGGAATGAATTATATATAATGACAACTTCTGTGTGTGTATTATTTAAATAATAAAGATATCAAAATGATCAAGGAATATGATTATTTGTTTAAGCTAGTGATCGTTGGCAATTCAGGAGTTGGCAAATCTTCACTTCTGTTAAGATTTTCAGATGACACATTCAGCGATTCCTATTTAACTACAATCGGTGTAGATTTCAGATTTAAAACTCTCGAAATTGATGGAAAAAAAGTCAAATTGCAAATCTGGGATACTGCTGGTTAAGAGAGGTTTAGAACCATTACAAGTGCATATTACAAAGTATCCAATTATTTATAAATAAGGGAGCCGATGGCATTGTTTTAGTGTATGATGTGTCCTCCCTTGCCTCATTTGAAGATATTGACAAATTTTGGATCAATGAAGTGGATTCATATGCTGAAAAAAACGTCGAATTATTATTGTTGGGAAATAAAAGTGACATTGAGGAAAAAGTGTAATTGCCCATCTCCTCTATAATAGAGTAACTACACAAAAGGCCTTAGACTATGCTGGCATAAGGAAAATGGCTCACATGGAAGTGAGTGCCAAGACTGCTGATTAAGTGTCTAAAGCCTTCCTCAATTTAGCTAGAAAATTGATTGCCAAAAAGGATTCTCAAGGATAAAAAGGATCAGGGTATCAATTATCTAAATATTCCAAGGCCTCAAAAAACTCAGTAACCAACTGGATAGAAAATAGGATAGCAGAGTGAAGAAAATAAAAAAGAAAAAGAAGGATGCTGTTGAATGTATGAATACGTTTCAAGTATTTACTTATTTTAATAATCCTCATTAACAAATTTGGGATAATTATCTTTCAATTCTAATCCATTTAGAAAAACTCTAGTATGCATCTATTAATTTACTAAATTTCTATTATAAATAATTAATGCTTTATTAAGATGATGCTGGCACACAATCTATTTTATTTAAATATCAATTATTTCTTGTAATAAATGCTGCATATAAACAATATTATCAATTATTAAATAGAATGAGTTTTAATTAACGATGGTTTTCTTATTTACTTTATTCAACCAGTGTTTATTTAATATAAAAATATCAATTTTTATTGATTTAAGTTTTACCCCATTTATATTATCATATTTCAATCGATATTGATCCTTCTTCCACTCTTAACTTTCGTTAGGGTATTGAGTTGGGAAGGTTTCTCAATAATTGTGACTTTTAATGTATCCGTGAGAATGACCATTATTTTTATAAATAACTCTAATGTTTAACCTTAACATATAACTTAAGGATATTGTAAGATCATTATGACTACTGTTGCTATTATTACGATAGATCATATTAGATTGCGAGGATTATTATTAAAAAATATATAACTGATCATCATATTGCGTTTGAAAAAATAATGGTTCGTATTAATAAGGGTTTGATAAGTGATTCTGAGTTTGAAGCAATTGTAATAATAAAAACATCTTAGGAACTTCAACATGTATAGATACATCTCAGAACTTGGATTTAGAACACCAGCCATCATTAATTCTCTCAAAATATTCATACGAGATTTCAAAGATGTCCCATCTGTCTCAGTAACCAAATTAAATTCTGAACAAATCTACTCTGCTCTTGAGATCCATTCTCTACCCTGGCAGCCATCAAGTGACTCTTCAAAGCTTGTCAAGGAATTCAAATTCAATTCATTCAAGGAAACTTTTGCATTCATGGGATCAATTTCTACAATCGCCGATGAAATGCATCGTAATATTTTAAATTCTATAATTATTAGATTATCCAAAGTGGATATAAAAAGACAACGTAGTTACTGTAGAGATAACAACACCTGAGTGTTCGGGTGTTTCTGTAAAAGACATTCTTTTGGCTTACTCAATGGAATAATTGGCAAATGAAGTCTCATCTACCTAAATCGCAACTGTATGCGACGGGCCAAAGGTTATCGATACGTAAATACTACAAAATTGGAATTCAAACTTCTCTAAGACTGAGGAAATGCTCCAAAGTTTTTAGAAGACTACAGCTCAACTTTGATTTTATATCAATATATTATAATTTCTTTAAATTATTTACATACTTAATATAAGATACAATATAAATTATTATAAAATTATATAATCAGGGATAATGTATTTAATCAATTTATAATAATTTTTTTCAGTTTTTTCAACAACATAATTAACGCAATAAAATAGAATTGTTATCTTTCGCAACGTGTTAAATCTGAACAGTCTAAGTGAGAACACCTAGTTAAATAAAAATGGACAGTATATTTAGAGAAATGACTCCTCAAAACTGGAAAATCGATTTGTCTCTTAGATTACATTAATGGAGAGTAGGAATAATGTTGATCATTTAATTATAAATTGAAATTAAGAGATATTAAGATGACAAATTATTAATTTAATTACATACTTAAAATTGATTTAAATACTTTAAAGAAAATCGTTTTAGTATTATTAAAATCTATGTACAGAAAGTTGACCTCTAATAGCAATCAAGCAATTGCCAATATATTGGGCTTAAAGTTTTTGCTAAGAGACTATTCTGAGATTGCTTAGAAGCAATTCACAAAATTAAGTCAAGATGAGGTCAACTAACTTTTGATCATCTAAGAGTTAGATGAGAATTGGAATCTGGTATTCAATTAAAATTGATGATAGAATGTAAATAGCTTGAGTAGAAAGTACTAGTTCTTGAAGTTTCAAGACTCGTTTAGTTTCATGAGCCAAATATCATAGATAGCCGATTAGATGAAACGTATTAGTTATTAAATAATTTAGATTATCCAAAATGGTTCAATAAGAATGGACTTGTTCAAATGGATTTGATGAGTCCAGAGGTACAAGGAGTAACTTTTAAGGATGTTATTCTTGCTCACTCAGCTGAACAAATCGCTTAAGTGATCATGAGTTAGCCAAAGACTTCAATATTCGACAACTGTGACATTCACCTGGAGAATCTTATATCCTCCTGGAATAACAATTATTAGAGAATTCAAGGACTCAACCAAGTCTTTGATAGATCTGTAAATTTCATTTGATTAAATATAATGATAATTTCTTAAAATTTCATAATCAATTCACTTTCCCCTGAAGATGATATCAGGAGAACTTTATAGTAGAAGTCATCACAATCAAATTTATGATTAGATTATGATGATACCAATATTGATGGTGTTTCTAGAAGAAGAAAAGTTTGTAAAATAAATTGATAAATTGATTTCGATCATAATTAATTCAATGAAATGCTAAATGCTAAAGGGCAATAATAAATGTTTAAATTAAGATTGTGAGTGATTGTGTTGGATACATTTGCCATCTGATAAACCATTTTCTTGTAAAGTAAATACCTTAAGAATTGATAACAAGGTAAATTATGAGTGCCATCTCTATTGTATGAGTATTTGATTAGGTGTGGTAATGGGAGTATATGAAAATCAATGGGAAATTGTTGGATGTAGTAGATAAGATGTGTGGAAGCAACTTTCGATTATTATTAGATTTAATATTTAATGAAATAAGCTACGATTTTCTTGTCTGCAGCTTGTCCTTCAACAGATGTGCACTTGGCACGTGTGATGTCAACCATTAAGGGAGCCAAACCAGATACTGAATTCCGTTTTGTTGGTATTGGAGGTCCTTAAATGGGTCATGAGGGATTAGAAACAATTGGAGTTGATTATCATGAATTCCAATACAAACCATTCTTCCCATTCAGAAATTTCTATAGATTGGCGTACACTCTATTGCTAAGTTAGTACTGAGAATGCAATGCATCCAGTCCATATGTACAAGAGATGGATCAATAAAAAAGTCTTGAATAAACTTGATAAGTAATACTTCGAAATTGTTTAACATTACCAACCATCAGCATTCTTGAATTTCGAAAATGAATTCTTCATGATTCAATTCTACAAGAAATTAAGAGAGTCCTATCGCCACTTCAATCGCATTTGTCCTCCCACATTCCAATATGGTTTGACCCATAAAGATTAACCACAATATGGTTAAAAGTATGTAGATCATTGGTTCACCAGAACTCCATTGAGACAAGTACAATATCATAAATATCTAATCAAAGAGCAATTGGGAGAAATTCACCTTCCCTCACACATAAGTAGGACCAGATGGACTTTATAGAGCATTCAGACATCTCCTGTCCAACAGTCCTCAGTACAAGGATTTGGTCACTAGTGATACCATCTATCTCCCAGGAGGTGAATTCTTCAGATTTGATGACTTCCTTGCTGATAGAGTCAATGAATAAAGAAAGACATATAGATAATAATAAAATATCGGAGATCAGGAATTACTCATTTTTGTTGCAGGTGGTAATACATCAAAAGAAATACCATTCTGTCTCAAAACTGTTGCTGAGGGTATCTCAAGATTCCTCAAACTTGATGAAATGAAGAACTACCCACCTGATCAAATCAAAATCATAGTGTCAGTCCCAGAGTTTGTTGAACACAAAGACAAAACCATCAAAACTATCAATTCCTTAAAATGGCCAGCCAAAGTCATCCAAGTCTAAACTGAATCTGAAAAATTCTCAGCCCTCGCTGCCTCTGATATCGGTTTAGCTTGCAATGGATAAATTGTTGCTGAATGTGCTGCATTCCAATTACCAACTGTAAACATTCTATCCCTATCTCATAGATCATCCTTGATCCTAAACCAACTATCTAAATGTATTACACCTCCCTCTACAATGGCATCGACAATGACCTCAATATCGCATACAATGGAATCGTCTATCCGTAATACTCATCTTCATTATAATTAGAGAATTGGTCATGTCCACAATCCCAAATAAAATTGCTTACTCTTTATTAGAACATTATCAAGATCCTAAACTCAGATATTTCTATGCTAAATAATATGCTCCCGTCTTACAAAAGACCTTAGCCAAATGTCAATCTGCAGTCCCCACAGAATTAGTATCTTATTCATAAATCTTTCTAGGCAAATAGATTCAATAGTGTCTAATTAACTGGCTACAGTTCTGCCTATCAAGTCATTGCCAATACAGTCTTGAAAGCAGCCCAAGTCTATGAACACATCCACTAATAAAGTAATTTTACTACTTAGTAAAATGAAAACTTAAGAATTGAAGCTATGTAAGGTTTGGGATGGGCTAAAGGATTATGAAACATATAGTCACATTTATAAATCAAAACAATACAATATAAAATATTGTTCACATAATATTGCTGAATGTTACTAATTAATCATTTCTTTGAGTCATCTCTAATTGATTAACTAAAATCAAAGAGCAAAACTCCATTTGGTAATTACAATTGTCTTATCCTATTTAACAAAGTAAGTTGCTAATTATCTTCTCACAAGCTTTTTATATGTGAATCGGAAAATCCATTTCCTTTCCATATATTATTATTTGAATGTCATTTAAGCTCTGTTATTTCAAACAGATCTCATGTGTATTGTAAATTTTGATCAAACATGAAATTAGTGTGAAAAATAAAGGGAGAACTGTGAAAAATTTATTTATTTAGAAATTTATGTAAATGTTGCCTTTTTTTAAAATTTGATCTAGGAATAATCTCAATTTGTAATATTTCAACTCTTCTACTGATTCTACTACCCTTTCTTTTACATAATAGGAAGTGTAAAGCAAATTTCTCAAATTCTCCTTATAATATAGGACGTGATCGGTCTTTTTAATTCTTTATAATACTTTTAGATAAGAATTATTATTCCATTCCTAAGTCAGAAAGGATTAGCTTTCTGAAAATTTTATTGTAATTTTAATTTCTACTAATTTTTTTATTAGACCTTTGACTATGAATTTCTCTCTCAATTATGTGTGTATAACTTTTATCTTAAAATTATCGGATTAATCCCTGACTCTCTCCTGTAGATATTAATTAAGACTTATTTTAGTATTAATCACCTTAAAATCATTGAGAAAATCTTTATTTTCGACTTAAATAAATTCATTCATTGATTTGTTAGCATGTAGCAATTCAATTCTCTCCCATTGCTCATTATATGCTAATAACACTATTTTTTCATCGATTAATTCATCCCATATTGAAAATGAGGATTTTTACTGCTCATTTAATAAAAACAGTGTTCTGTTGTGTTTTTATCGAAAATATTCTTTTTACCAAAAAAGTATTAAGTAGAGCAGGAAAATGAACGTGTATGCGTGTAAGTTCTTATAGTTATGCATAAACAATCTTAAAAATGCGTAAGTCATCTATAATAGTTAATTTAAAATAAAATTAGGGGTTAGAGCGAAATTCAAACCCAAAAACTAGGAAATATCGAAAATCCAAACATACTATTCATCCTAGAAATCAGGGTAATATATAGGAATCAAATGATAAAAGGATGCCAATAAACTAAAAGATGAAATCAAGTACCCAACTGCAGAGATAAGTTATTATTTCATCCTTAGGTAGTAAAAAGTTATTGTCCATAAACAGCTGAATCCTACTAACATTGTGCCTATAAATATTTCATTTCTTTGAATCCAAAAAATGCTCAAAGTAATATTTGATATCGACATTAATGCTATTGTATATTTGAACGCGTTGAATAATTCAAGTGAATAACTCTCTTTATATTTCTTCTCTAAATTTTTGTCTACAAAAGTTAATGTAAAAGGATTCATAATATTTATTATAATATGATAACAATCAAGAATATGAAATAATTAATTTGTTAACAATTAGATACTCTAAAAATTATTATATCATTAATTATTATTTACAATTAATTTAGTAACTCACACAAACTCAGGAACTTATAGAAAGAAAAAAGTTTAATTAATGAGAAGGATCACATTTGGTCATAACTTAATTTATATTTCTTAAGGAAATTAAAACATTCAATTTTATATTTTAGAGAAAGTTTTTATTAAGCGAATTTTCCAAAAAGACTTAAATTAATATTAATAAAATCAGATAACTTATTTAGATCTATTAAATAAATTCAAGCAATTTCTATTACTTTAACAAACCCACTTAATTCATTCCGAAAAATATTTTAAAATTTTAGATGCCTTATCGAATAAATTTTGAATACAAGCTTTATTTATATGAAAAGTATAGAAATCCCTCTATATTTTCTAATTCATAAAATTTACTTAAAATATCTTGTCTTATTAGAAGGCGTTACATGTTATCCTATTTGTTTCTCTAATCCAAAGTATTTATAAGCAATACAACAATAAAAGAAATTACATATCTTTAGTTCCTTTTGATAATAATTTATATATATCACAATTTAAATAAATAGTAAATTTCAGCCTCTAATCTTTTCTAAAAATGACTTTATCTTGCGCTCGCTATAGCCTTTCATTGAGTCCGTTTGAGTTCCCATATTAAATAAGCAAACCGAGGGAACTTGAGCCATCTAATAATAATCAAATAACACTTATACCGCAAATTATTGCACTACGTCATAAAGTTCATCGTTATTCACATTAACCAAAGCAAGCTACCATTTTTCAGGATTCTTCTCCACCTCCTAAATTAATTGGGGATTAAGTTTTTGGCAGGGAGCACACCTATATTTTATTTATTATACAATCTACCATTCAGCAAAAAAGCTAACCACCACAGGTCTTTAATTATTAACTACGTATTCCAACCAATCCTTTTAAGTATTGATCTCTAAGCAATTCATAAATATATAAAATAATGCTTTGTCTTCAAAAAATTAGCACCAGTTTATAGTATTAGATAATATGTAATATTAATGATTTAATTAACAATATACTATATATTTAAATAAATGTATGGCAAAAAAAAAATTTGATTCCAAATTTAAATAAATAAACCACCTTCACTTCTATCTTTGATAATTCAGTAAATCTATGGAATAAGGCAAATAAAGTTCGTTCGTTTTTATCGATTTCATTCTAATGATAATAGACTAACTCTTATAATACCCAATATCGGTTTATTATTGATTTTGAAATTAACGAAGTCTTTTGAAAAATAAAATAAAATTATATGAATTTTTTATAAATATTTGTGTTATATTTATATTAACTTGACTAAAACAAATGAGAATAGATACTTGAACTTCTAAAATTGTTATTAATTGCAACTTGGAATTCAAAATCCTTGGTTTTTGTATAAATTATATATTTAAGACAATATTGTTAAAAATTATATTTTGATACTTATTTTATAGATCCTATTGTTTCATTATTTCAAATGTACTTCAATAGTTCTGGATTAGACTCATCTTTTTCTAAATAATTTTTTTCATATAAATATTTAACAATAGCTGTTATCTATACTAATTCAACACTCTCATTAAAGGTGCGTTTTATAAATTTTTCTAACATAGGAACCAAATCTTAAAACAAAATTTGTTTTTGGTTCTTTAAGGTTTTAATAATAAAGGCTTCTATAGGTAATTATAAATTTTTCCTTTATTTTGCTACAAATCTAATAAAAATTGTACATTTTTTTAAATATAAAAAAGGATTTTAGGTAGTTGCGATAATTATTTTTCTTCTTTGTGTTGCTTCTTACTCCATCCATTCTTCGTTAAATCTATATAGTTCAACATCATCCTGGATGACTTCTTCCAAGATTTTTGCAGCCTTCATCTCTGCACAGTTTTATGAAATAAAATATTCCTATAGCTTTGTGATTGATGATATCCTCTTAACACTCATAAATTCATTTGAGGATTAATATGAAAATAAAATCATTGCTTAAGGAATACTAATTCTGAATGTTATTTACATTTTTGAATATTCAATATCAACATAAGATATCAGATCTATCCAATTAATTAATTTTTAATCTTATTATGATTCAAATTGCAATTTTAGCTAATTAATTGTTTAAAATTCTTAATTTAATTCTATTTGTTATTATTTGAATTTAGGCCAATCTTGGTGTTTTAATAATAAAGGGTATTGAACAATCAATAACTTATGATCTTCCGTTCTAAATTCAAAGGTGGTGTCACTATTATTTTAGAATTCTTCTATCATTGATTATAAATGGTAGGTATTCTGATTTCCCATTAGGCTAGACATTTTTTAGATGATTAATGATTCAGTCCTCAAGTAGATCTAAAGAAATTCATGATTGGATAGTATTCGATAGTATTTTAATAATCTTTAGGCTAACCGATTTTGATAATACTAAAATCATTTCATATGTATTTACTAAAGCGAAATCTTAATTTTCAGACATGAACAATAATAATTGAATTGAATCTATTAAGTACTCATTTCTAATTTAGTTTTTAATCACATTCTCTATTTCTTCTTCAATGAACAATACAAAGTATTCTTGAAAATCTATATTCTAGAAAACTATAATACATTTAGAGATACCTAATTTTGACAATTAAGTAATTCTTCGAATGCACTTGTTAATAAAGATTAAATATTTGTATTATGGCACAAACAGGTCTCAATCATTTTAAGATATTTCTGAAGTAATTAAAACATGGAAATGATAAAACTATGAGCCAATTTTTAATTTATTTCTTCATTTATTACCATCTCTAGAATTTGAGTTCCCTCTTGTATGATCTTCTACTTAATTTTCAATTTTATCTCTTAATCATTAGGATCCAAAGTTAAATATAACTCATTGAATAATTCTAAATCATTTTGATATTCCTGAGCCTCATATTTGAAATTCTAAAGCAATTATCCTAAATTAAAGGGCTTCATTTCAGATAAGATAACATCTTTATAGTTCTTAAGAAGGTGATCTTCCAAAAGTGAATTAACCTATTATTTTATTGAACTGTTTTAAAAATTTAGTATTTAATTATTTAATTCCTTTTCCATTTTAACTCTTCTCAAGTAAAGTGGAATTTCACATTCGTCTACCCATCTATTAAATAATCCTTAATATTTTTTTTAAAAATGAGAAAAAATGTGATTTGGAAAATCTAGTATAATCTCTATGCTTTGTTGTGCCTTTTGTTAATTAAGTAAAATGTCTCCAAACTCTTTCAGGGCCAGAGTAAGCTTCTTCCAGGAATCTTAATTATGATCTGTTCGAGTATATGCGGCATCTAATTGTTAGAAAAAGCACATAAATAATTATTTAGGAATTTGAGTTGAACATAATCTTTCGAAAAATAGATAGCTCAAATATTTTTATAGAGTTTCCAATAGATTATTCTGATGTAAAAGGTTAATCTAAATATATAGATATAAGTCAATTTACTGCAAAGTAGAATGAAGTCAAGAGATATCTAGATCTTTATATAAATGTCTAATAATTTTGTATGAAAACTTCAAGGTTTGAGCACCCTTATTATTAATCATCAAATTTCAGACAATTTAAAGAAGGAATGATCTATCTAATCATAAATAGTCTACATAATCCTAGATGTGATGCTTAACCTTCTTAGTTAAAATTCTAAAAAAATTGATTGCCATTTCTATTTGTTCATCATTGGCAAATTTTAAAATAAAGTTCATCATTTCAACATTCAATTAGATATCACTTTTTGAATGTTCTTTGCGTAGTAATGTGGGGGCTTAAAAAATATTCTTAAATGAGTTTTCTATTTATTTTTCTAAGTCTTAAAATTAAGTTTTAGTTAAATTTTATGATTATGCCATGGATAATATTTTAATTATTGATATTTTCCATAAGATCCTTATTAGGAAAAAACATGAGACAGGATATTTTAAATTTATATTTTCTATTAATACGAGGAGAATTCTTTAATAAAATTAAGTATTTAGATTTAACAAATATTTATTATATTCTATTGCAATTTTTCTATAGGAAAGTCTAAATCAAAGTGAAATAAGAGTGGCCGTATTGTATGCATAAATTTATTAGCCTGATATTGATGATATAAATTGTTTATGAAGAACTTGTTAAAAAATTGATACTTTGTGTTTATTAAGATGGTATTGACTTTTTCGATTAAGGAAAAAGGATTCATTAATGCTATTGTAATGATTCTAGACTTACATCCAAAATACTTACTTTATTTGATAATTCTATCTGGAGAATTTTCAATCGTAGTGTTACAAATTAGGAAGCTGCTAATTTTGTAAAAAAAACATTAGGAGTTTAGATTGAATTTGATTTACAATAATATTACTCTTTAATAAATATATAAATAATTAATTTGCATTAATAATTATAAATATGAGTCAATAGGATGAAGGAGAGGAGAAACAGGATGTTGAATAAGTAGAACCAATTGAACCTGAAGAGCCAGATGTGCCACAAGAAGAGTACTATGCTCCGGAGTCATTATAAATTTAAAAGTTACATAATGATATTAAAGAGGGATTAAAGAGAATTGGTAAAACTGCCAATTTAAGTGGGTACACATTTGTGGAATTAATATGTGAAAATAAGGTACTAATTTATTAAAGCATTTTAGAAAATAGATAAGTTGTTTAATATAATGTAGGACTATGTGCATTTGAGGAAAATTAGTTTTGCAAATAATCAATTATCTGATGTGAATAGCTTGTAGACTATTAAATACTTAACGAATTTGAATTTGTCATTCAATCAAATAACTAATTTGGATTGTTTCAATGTTCCAAACACATTTGAGTTCTTGGAAGAATTAAATTTGGACAATAATAAAATTACAAACTTTGGATAAATCAATGCACCCAGATTGAAGAAGTTATCATTGAAAAATAATCTGATTAAAAGCGCATAAGGTTTTAATGGGCATAATACACTTGAAATTCTTGAATTTAGAAACAATAAATTGGAGTCATTTGAAGGGTAATCTAGATATAAAATTATGTTTTAGATTTTAGAATTTATTGAAGCTTAAGCAAATATGGGCTGCCCAAAATGCCATCGTTTCAATTGGTCATTTGACTTAATTACCTGAATTGCATACATTGCATTTGAGAGCAAACAAAATAGTTGTCTTAACAGATATTCCGAATTTGCCAAAATTACATCACCTTAATCTTAGAGCCAACTTAATCGAAAAATTAGATGAATTTAATAATCTTAAATCATTGGAGACTCTTAAATCGATTACTATGCATGAAAATCCAATAGCAACTGAAATGGGGGATGGAATCAGAAAGGAAATCATAATGATACTCCAATAAATTGAAAGAGTAAATAAAGAACCAGTCCCTCCAGAAGAAAAAGCAGATGCTCTGGCAGAATTGAAAGAGAGAATTGCTGCTGCCATTTAAAAGAAGAAAGAGGAAGAAGAAGAGGCTGCAAGATTAGCTGAAGAAGCAAGATTGGCTGAAGAAGCCAGATTAGCAGAAGAAGCTGCCAAAGCCGCAGAGTTGGCAGCTGAACAAGCTGCTGCTGAATAAGAGGCAGCAGATAAAGCAGCTGCAGAAGGAAGGACCAATTAGCCTAAAGTGGAGTAAGAAGAAGAAGAGGAAGCTTGATTATTAAAATTAAAATTAATTTTCAATAAATGCATCAATAACAGGATGAATAAAAAAGGTCTCTTGTTTAGGAGAAGATGTAGATGAAATAATAAGGAATAGACAATGGAAATGCGAGAAAAATAAATGATGAAGATATCTAGAAGATTTAGGCTTATGAATAAATGCAGATAGAAAATGCCATGAAGAACTCAACATGGAGTACTTTGATGTTGTTAAAAAGTAAAGAGATTGTTAAATCGAAGTAAAAACACAACATTTATATTTCAAAGGTGGAGACCTAAAAAGAAATAAAGGTTGTGGGATTAATATAAGATTGATAAAATTTTGAAGAAATATTCCATCATGATAGAAGGCAACGATCCTCCACCTCCAATTAAATCGTTCTAAGATTTAAGAGTCGATCATAGAATTTTGAAAATACTAAGTAAGATGAAAATTAAAAAGCCTACTCCAATTCAAATGCAAGGATTGCCTGCAGTGTAATCTATTAATTAATGATTAAGTTTAATGGGAAGAGACATAATAGGAGTAGCACCAAGTGGTCAAGGCAAGACCTTAGTGTTTTTATTACCTGCATTACTTTAATGTGTAGAAGAGTAGATGAAAATGCCCATAATTAGAGGTGAAGGACCCTTTGCTTTGATATTACTACCTTCCCATGAATTGGCAATTCTAACCTATGAATTAGCAAAATAATATTGTCAGAAATTCGAGAAAAAGGTAATTTGCTTAGCTATAATATTCTAAGGGATTCCCAGCAATACATTGTTTATTGGGTATTGGAGGAATGGATATGTCATCATAATTGTAATCAATAAAAAATGGAGTTCACATTGTAATTGGAACTCCTGGAAGAATTAGTGACATGGTTAATAAAAAAAAGATTAATATGGATTTGTGTAGATTTATAGTACTTGATGAAGCTGATAGGATGTTGGATTAAGTGTTTGAATTAGAAATAAGAAACATTTTAGAACATTTCACAGTATGATTAATTAATTGATACCTAAGTTTAGGGTCCTAGATAAACCATGTTATTCAGTGCTACTCTTCCAAAGAAGATATAAGAATTCACAAAACAAACATTAGTCGATCCGTTGGTGATAAATGTGGGTAGAAGTGGTTAAATTAATTTGAATGTGATCTAAGAAATACTGTATGTTAAACAAGAAGAAAAATTACACTACTTATTGGATAGTCTCAAAAAGACAACACCCCCAGTTGTCATTTTTAGTGAGCATTAGAATGATGTTGATGACATCAACGAATATCTCTTGATCAAAGGAGTTGAAGTAGTTGGATTACATGGAGGAAAACAATAGGAGGATAGAACTAAAGCATTAAAACAATTTTTGAATGGATAAAAAGATGTCTTGGTGGCAACTGATGTGGCTGCTAAAGGTCTAGATTTTCCAGACATTAAACATGTTATTAATTATGATATGCCAAAAGATGTACAATATCATTCTCATTTAGATTGAATCATATATTCATAGAATTGGAAGAACTGGAAGATAAGGCAAGACTGGTAGAGCAACAACCTTTGTTAATAGATAATAAGAGGAGTCTATTCTATTGGATTTAAAATACCTACTTGTTGAATCCAAATAAAGTATTTCCGTTTATTATATTTTAGAAATACCTTAATTCTTAGAGAAATTGAAATCAGATGAAGATTTGAATGGTTCATGTGGCTATTGTGATGGTATGGGTCATAGAATGGCCAATTGTCCAAAACTTGAAAAGTAGAAGATGAGAGTATCCCTTTGTATTCTATTTTATTTAGATTTTAACTAATCCAAACAAAGAAAGTTGCCCAGATTTTCTAAAAAGTCAAATCTATAGAGAGAGTCAAAGTGCAGAGAGAGAAATGTAAATGGGATGATCAGAATTAATATTCTAATTTCAGTTTTATTTTACCTAATTCATTAATCTATAATCCATAATTGTAATTGTAAATTATATAATATATATCATTATTATTAAGTATTTAAGGATTCAAATTAAAAATTAAGCAAACATGCCCCTCTTTACATAAACAAAAAATATTAAATCAATTAGATCTACTGATAATATCTTCAGGTTTTGGATCATCCTCGTTAGAATCATCATCAGAAGCTTATGCTAATTCCTTCTCCAATAAATGTGGTAATTTTGACCCCAAAAGCGATATTAATCTCTAATTGAATCGAATTTCTTCATCTGACAATACTTAATCATCCAATCCTATCAATTTTTAGTATGAATTAACAAGATCAGTAAATAGTTGGGATAGAACTATTTCATGACTCGGATTTTCCAATATTTATTTGAGTCTAAAAGTTATTATAGTGCTTACACTGTTGATTTTCTATTTCTCTTGTCTCTAATCAAACTGATTGTTGGTCTATGACTAAAATTAAACAATGTAACTTAATCAGAATTGAAAATAACTCTCTTTAACTTTACCATCTCATGCAACTATCTAATGATATATTATATATCTAATTCTTTATTCACCTAAGCCCTATTAATGGATTATCAATATATTTACATAGCCTTCTTTAATACAACGCATTCATCTGATTAAATACATTCAAAGGGCATAATTTGACTCAATATCAACTTAATACTAATCCCAATATGTTAACTAGCAACCATCAGTTATTTGAATTATTCAAATATTGCAGAGCATTGAACCTTCAATTAACTAACTCTTTTTAGTTTACTTGACCGATGTGAATTTATGCATTCTTTGAGTTTGAGACTCTCCTGTTTCTCAATACTTTTCGGAGATAAAAACTATCCCATCATAGGTTTCTAATTAAAAGTTGACATACTCTTAATTTAAATAGAAGAGTCCCCCTTGATTTTATGCATTGATCGTTTTAAGGCTTCCCTTCCTCTTTAAGAGGATGCTAATAAAGCGTTGTTTGCCTCGATAGTGTTATTCCTTTTTTTGTTAAGATCGAATTCGTATAGGTCGTTTGCCATTTCTATGACCATGTGTTCACGATTGTAAATTTTAATTAGAACACCGATTACTGCAATCATAAATTGAGAAAATCCCCCTAAATTACTTAAAAGTTCATCCAATCTCATAAAATTTCTTGTAATGTCATAAGAGTAAGGACTCCTATTAAAATAGAAAGCACCATAATATCCAGGCACTAAATTTGAAATTGCTGATTGTTCTCTGTTATCCATATAATCTCTGGTTATATATGTTTAAGTGGATTTCTATGGATACATCAGTATTCCATCATCTGTTGTGATTGTTCTAGGCCGAAGGAAAATATCTGATTGAACAAACATAGCATTCGGAACAAATGAATAAAATTGTTCTATGGCTATGTAAGGTTGAATAAAATGCTTTGGTGATCCAGGGTTAATTAACTATTACTATATATTAATTAATTTACATAGTTTGTGGTATATACCTAAAATCTAAAGCTGCCTACAGATTTTAATACTTATAACATTTCCTCTTCGGTCTTACATTGTGGTTTCCATGAAAAGTTATTTCCAGAATTGCTTTTACATTTGGTAACAGAAAATTTTAAGAACGAATATTCTTTACCTAATAATATATTTTTAATATAGTTTTACTTGTCCATGCCCCTCCAACTGTCAAATTAGATGTCAAGGGATGGTCTAAATTTGGACACAAGAAATTGTTTAAATTATATTGCTTAAACTGATCTTCAAATGACGCATTGTATTAATCGAATATAGGCTTAAAATGTTCAATCGTACAAGGCACTAAATCCACATAAACTGAAGGCATCTTTTTCTAGGTCCCATTTTCATCTCTGATATAGGCTCTCTATTCCACAGTGATATTAAAATAAGGGCTTGTAGTAAAATTGTCTTATTCAATCTGAACAGCAAACATAAAATTATTGGGTAATAGTTTAATTGTGCTTGGATCTTCACTAAATTACTGTTCTGATTCAGATGATACTGTGTTTTTTTAAAAAAAGTCAATAATATTCGAGTAAAAAAAACTGATAATGGTGCCAATAATGCATAAAGAAAGTAATCCACCCAAACTAGTTCTGTATTCTTCCTCTTAACGAAAGCTTAGTGTTATGGATTATCCAAAAATATCTATCTTTCTTAGATTCTCTTTAAATTTTGTAAACATTTTACTAATAATCAAAATTTCTTCTTGTATTATTTATATATGAAGTAAGATCATTTGAATGAACGCACCATTTAATTTTAGAACTTATTATCAATTTAGTAATCTTTAATTATTAAAAACATGCTCAATACTCTAGAATAGAAAAAGTCTATATTTATTAATTTGATATTCAATATGTTGGAATATATAATATTAATATATAAATATAATTTTACCTAATGATAATGAGTAAAATGTTTTACAAAATCTAATTAAGATATTGCAATTCACAAATTTATTCTTTTTCTCAAATTTATCTTATTGGAACTTTTATTTTTCTAATAACTATTTTATATTTTGGTTAAATTCATCCACCAAGTCTCAACTTTTTTAATATAATTTAAATTATTCTTTCACTAATTATGATTCTAACTTTGTTTAATTTTAATAGATGTTGAAGTTATATAAAAAAATAGTATACGGCATTTAAGAAAATAAACAAATCCATTTTGCAACACTAAATTTAATTTATACTAAAATTATCTAACTTATTATAAACTTAAATGACTTTTGAAGTTTCTTAAATTTTTCAAAATAATTATTTTATAGATTGTTGCCTATATTTTTAAATAGATACAACTAATTTAAATATAACTAATAAAGTCTATTCTATTCTAGATGAGAAATATATACCATCATTAAGGCTCACATGAATTTGACTTTAATTTTATCTATAAGAAGTGGAACCATATGTTGAATTAACAAAATCATGGTAAATAGTCAAGGTTTCAAAAGGATAAAGTTAAAAGAATCATTAATTCATGAGATGGGGCCTTATTCCTAAATAAACTCATCTTTCTTCTAGATAGGAATATATATATTATAAAACTAATTTCAAATCAAATATAAAATATAGATGGCATGAGTCTATTAATATCAATTCTCAGAAATACAATAGTTTTTGTTTGATATCTTAAAGTCTTAGGTTTCTTCATTTATTATTATTTGTCATTCAGACATAGATGATTTAACTTTAGAGATCAAGATGTTTTACTATTATTTTTCTTAAAATAACATCTTATTAAAGAAGGATAGCCAATTATATAAGATATTTGTGGGTGTTTTATTATGATTAATTTTATTATATTAATCATTCAATTCTTTGATTTGTTTCAGTTCCATTTAGATTAGCTTATTAATCTTAAAATTGATTTGAAACTATCTTAATGTTGTATATTTGGGAATCGGAGCAAAGGTCATTTGACAATTCTAAAGCCACCTGTTATTCATAAAGTTTTCCATTTTGATCATCAATCTACAAAGAATACCTCAAGTCAACATCGTAATATTTGAGAGTAAAATCTTGTTCTAAATAGTTTTTGGTTAAACCAACAAGGAACATCTAAAATATTAATTGTTAAAAATACTTCGTTATATATTGAAAATGCTACTTAGTTGGGATTACGAAAATCATGGTATTCGGAAACACCACCATAAGAATAGACCATGCGTTTATCACTTACAGTATTATCAGGAAGTTAATATGTCAAAATCACTACTTTATCATTATATCTGTAAGGAATTGCAGCTTAAAACAGCTAACGATCAATAAATATTCCAGGCAAGATTTGGGCATCTAAATATCTACTTAATGCATAATTATATGTAAATGATTTAACTATCTAATTGTACCAATCGTAAACCAACTAAAACTTGTAATTCAAAGATTAAGAAGTAAACACTATATCAACAGTAGCAATATAGTTCCCACTTCCACTATATGTTGGAGTTTAAACTAAAGTAAAATCAACAAATTGTGATGAGATTATTTCCCCTCCATTTTGGGTTATGATATCAGATAAAATATAAGTTCCAAGCAAAGTTAAACCATTATTATAAATTCTAAACCTTCCTTCTGCAGTTAATGCCATAATGTANTTTTATAGATTGTTGCCTATATTTTTAAATAGATACAACTAATTTAAATATAACTAATAAAGTCTATTCTATTCTAGATGAGAAATATATACCATCATTAAGGCTCACATGAATTTGACTTTAATTTTATCTATAAGAAGTGGAACCATATGTTGAATTAACAAAATCATGGTAAATAGTCAAGGTTTCAAAAGGATAAAGTTAAAAGAATCATTAATTCATGAGATGGGGCCTTATTCCTAAATAAACTCATCTTTCTTCTAGATAGGAATATATATATTATAAAACTAATTTCAAATCAAATATAAAATATAGATGGCATGAGTCTATTAATATCAATTCTCAGAAATACAATAGTTTTTGTTTGATATCTTAAAGTCTTAGGTTTCTTCATTTATTATTATTTGTCATTCAGACATAGATGATTTAACTTTAGAGATCAAGATGTTTTACTATTATTTTTCTTAAAATAACATCTTATTAAAGAAGGATAGCCAATTATATAAGATATTTGTGGGTGTTTTATTATGATTAATTTTATTATATTAATCATTCAATTCTTTGATTTGTTTCAGTTCCATTTAGATTAGCTTATTAATCTTAAAATTGATTTGAAACTATCTTAATGTTGTATATTTGGGAATCGGAGCAAAGGTCATTTGACAATTCTAAAGCCACCTGTTATTCATAAAGTTTTCCATTTTGATCATCAATCTACAAAGAATACCTCAAGTCAACATCGTAATATTTGAGAGTAAAATCTTGTTCTAAATAGTTTTTGGTTAAACCAACAAGGAACATCTAAAATATTAATTGTTAAAAATACTTCGTTATATATTGAAAATGCTACTTAGTTGGGATTACGAAAATCATGGTATTCGGAAACACCACCATAAGAATAGACCATGCGTTTATCACTTACAGTATTATCAGGAAGTTAATATGTCAAAATCACTACTTTATCATTATATCTGTAAGGAATTGCAGCTTAAAACAGCTAACGATCAATAAATATTCCAGGCAAGATTTGGGCATCTAAATATCTACTTAATGCATAATTATATGTAAATGATTTAACTATCTAATTGTACCAATCGTAAACCAACTAAAACTTGTAATTCAAAGATTAAGAAGTAAACACTATATCAACAGTAGCAATATAGTTCCCACTTCCACTATATGTTGGAGTTTAAACTAAAGTAAAATCAACAAATTGTGATGAGATTATTTCCCCTCCATTTTGGGTTATGATATCAGATAAAATATAAGTTCCAAGCAAAGTTAAACCATTATTATAAATTCTAAACCTTCCTTCTGCAGTTAATGCCATAATGTATAAATAATTAGTGGAACTATAAATGTTTTGTGCCATTACTTTAACAAAGCGTTCATTATATAGTTAAACAGAACTTATTTATTTGCTAAACGAAAAGGTTGCTACATAGGTTGAATTATTAAAAGATATTGTGTAGTAATGTAATTAAGTATCATTGCTCTTGATGTTCAAAGGATAAGTATTAATAAAAACCAGATAATTATCATTAAAATGAGCTTGTGGAATGTGACTAAGGCCTTATTGCAAGGGTGAAAACTTAATTTAATCTCCACATGTAAAATAACTTGCACACGTAACAGTTGCAATTTAGTATTAACTATCAACAACACAAGTAACTAGAATATAAATCCAATTCATTAATATTCTTTAACAACGAGTGTTAGGGCTTTGGCTTATGATAATATCTTTTACAAATTGATTATCCTTATTGAAAACTCTAATTATTTGATCAGTATCTGTAGACATTAAAACTACTCTAGTATCTTCATTTTTCTAACCTTATAGTACATACTAATCAACTACATTCAAAGTGTCTCCTGATTCTTAGTTAAACAATTTTAATGGTTATACTATATCAATATTTTTACCCTATCCGCATTACTAGCATTAGAGTATATAGTCGACTATGGTTCCTGTCATATTAATAGGAACTTCTGTTTACTTCCACTTTTCAATCAAAAGATCTTAATTAGGATTGAAGAATTTGATTTAAGTTTTAGTTTAATATAATACAATAGCTTGACTTAGTGAAACAGTAGGGTTATTTTTTAGATTCCACATTGTTATATTTAATCTGAATTTATTCACCCATTGATTTGTCTAATAAGTAGGCACAATCTAATATGAAGTAATTCTGTCCATCCATCCCATATTATGATTTACCCCATCATTCTAATAAAATATAAAATGTTTATATCCAGCAGCAGCCATTTAGGTATCGTAAATATATATTGAGGATCTCTTTGGAGCCAACACTTCCACCAAAGAATCTCTTAATGGTTATCTAGGTCTATAAGCCAAAATGACAGCCAAATCTTCATTTTCTGGATCACTTGCTGCAATGTACAATAATCCTGAATCTTAGTTGATTGTGAGTGCCAAAGTAAGTTAAATTTTGTATTTATATGTAGGAAGTTCTTTCATTTAAAAGATATTACAATAGTTTGAAATATCATACTCTATTATTTAAGATTTTGCATTCGTATGTACTACAACAAAGAAGGAATCCTTACCAATAGCAACATTTATAGTAGAATCCGTATAGGTTAAAACTTTAACAATGGTAGGTTCTTTGTGAAAATCTGCAATTATGACATTATCATTATTGATAATAAAGAATAAGTTTGGATGATATCTAGGATTGCCAACAATTCTCAAAACGTTCCAACTTCCTTAAAATCCTAATGCTCTTACTGTTGCTTCAGTAATTGAATTTAATTATTTATTGTTAATATTCCAAATGTCCAATTATTGATTACTGAGAATAACATATAATCTATTAGCAGCAACATGGATAGATTTTACCGTTGCTGATAAGAATGTACTATAGGTAAATTGTTATTATTATTGAATTTCCAATTAAGAAATTGAATACAATACTACAGTTAATTTATTTTCAATAAGCAAAATATACAAATATTCTTCTTAAAAGTAACATTAGAAGTTTGTGTTGTCCAAATCAATGGTTGTTGTAAATTTCTTATAATTGATACATTGCAAGTTTACTTGACCATTATTATATGAATCTGTTGAACATATGTAGGGTAAGACATCTTTAGTCGATGCTTCTTAGAAGATGATTAATATTCTTGAGTCATTTTCATCTAAACTAATCAATTTCACAAATTTTGAGGCTTTAGCTGATGGAATTTTGGAATATATAGATTCAGCATTAATGTAGCCTCCTTATTTTATATTTAGGGTTACTGTATTTGCACCAGACAGAGTTTGAGAAGATTGATTATATCTAATATTTGGTCCAGAAACTGGAATTTAAAATGCAGTCATTGCAGGATAGTCATGATGTACATCAGGTAATTCCAAATCAGATAATGGGTATATTTTAGAATCTGATGAATTAATAATTCCATATACAACAGTTGAAAAGCATGAATTATCAAATTAATCCTTTGCAGTAACGGTTAATACTGACTTTGATGCTGTCAATTCTCCAGATAAAAATCTTAACTTGCCGCTAGATAAAGTAAATCTTCTGGCATCAACTTAAGTAACATAAATCAGTTCCTACAAGTACTAATTGATCAATAGTCCTTAAATTCCTTCAAGCACTTCCTTGTGAATCAAATCATGAGTTTATATGTTGATTAAGTATGTTTTTCCCTTATTTTATATTATCAATAACTCTTATGATATTTTCAATACAGTAGAATAAACTGGAATAAAATCTAAGGTGTATGAACTCCTGAAATTCCTATTCTCATAAATTTCTGCTCTATTGTTAGTAAATAAAACTCCAATTGTTTCTTAAACAGAACCATCCTCAGATATAAAATGACTGACATCAAATTCTCTTGCATCATTTAATAATTCAATCTTGCCTACTAAACTGAATTCGTACCATTGATCCATCTATAATATAATAATGCCATCAAATGCTGTTAGAATGTAAAGTTTGCCGTCTGCAAATAACTCAAAATCAATCAAACTGAACTCATAATCGAAAGGATCATCCACTTCTAGTAATGTGCCTATGATGAATGAATTCAGTGAATCAATTAATTTCAAAGTGGATGCATTGAAAATCTCAATTACAGAATTTTTTTTCAAATCTGATCCAGTGGCATAAGCTGGAGTTGATCGGAAAAGCAATTTAACTTGACTTTTCTTGCTATCAACAAAAGTGATCATCCTAGTTATTCTTTTCGTGATTATGTTTAATACATCAAAATTAGTGTTAGTGATATTTTTAACGGAACCTGATTTATCAACAATAAAGAAATAATTTTGAATAGGATTCAGTCCTCCATTATAGCAGTCGGCCAAAAACTAAGTCTCATTCAAATATTCCAAATTTAAGCATTAAATATCTTAATTCAAGGAAAACACAATTTTTTTATTAAAGTAGGGTGGTTTAAAATCTCCTTGTAATCTTATAATAATTACAATATGCATACCCTTCAGCGTAATAAATTGACAGTTGATTTAAATTTTTCTCTAAAAATGCAAACTGATTTAGCCAAACATTTTAGCTTTATTCTGTTCTTGCTTAGATGGCAACAATTTTTGATATACCTGAGATTAATTGAAAATTATACCTTCAATAAGTAATTTTGGTGCATATTCTTAATGCAGAGGTTTCTTTATGGTAAAGAAGGATTGCTTTGGTGATAAAGTGTAATTCAAGTAGGATCCTGAAAATAGGTCTTTTAGATTCCATTCAAAGGTCTCGGATGTTGAGAAGTATGCTTTGACTTACTCCTGCTTGACAGAGCAAGGCTCTAGTGCTAACCCCAAGTATATTATGGGTAATAGAATCAGAATTAACATTGTATAAAATGATATTTAAAAAGGAGATCGTAATATTAATATTAGTTTTAATGCGTCATTATAAAAATATAGAATGATATACCCTATAGATCGTAAATTAATTTTAATAGAAATAAAAAAATAATTAAATAGTATATCCTCTACCCTCTGATAGATTCAATAAACATTAGAATCTGACTTTTTTCATTAAAATTTACAATAATTTTTATTACAATAATGAATTTTGATTTTGATTTTTATTTGAAGAATTTTTTGATTAAATTAATTCAATAACCCTTATAATATCTAAAAAGAGCCAATCAAATTCATCTTTATTATTAATATCCATTCAATAAAATGATTCTATCTCAATTAAACTTTTGTTTGTCTTTCAAATTGCAATCAAGATTATATTTAAATATATATACTACTTAAATATATTTGTAGATGCTATACAAATTTAATTAGAAGTACTTACATACAAGGTTTTCAATAAAATTATTTGTTTTAAAACAGCATTAATTCTATGGTGCTAAGTACAAAGTTTTAATTAGTTATCATCCATCAACAATGCGCTTTTCTGATGATATTACTTATAATTCAAAAAGTTATGGGTAACATTTTCAAAGTAGAATAACCAATATTATATTTTTTAATTGCTTTTAAAATAATATAATAGTTGCATCAATTCGAAGCTTATATAAACCTTCCTTGTAATTTTAAATGATAGTATTACCTTTATTTTGCTTTTCCCTGGAATACTGATGTGTGAAAAATGAATGTTAATTAATAATAAAATATATATATTTTTTTGAGTAGCTAAAAAAAAGAATGATTTTGTAATAATTTTATTATTAATCTGAGAATGAAATCAGTTTCTTAATGAAAAGAATTTTTTAGCAAATTTATTTGAAATTTAGAATATGATATGATTTTAAGAATGAGAGTTTGCAAACTTAAGAAAATGGTTACCTTGAAAATTATAAACATGTACAATAGACAGGATAATCATAATCAATGTAGATATTTTGGATTGTTGAAAATAGAGTAAATAATAAAAGTGATTGGGTGAGTATTTAATTTTACTTTTCTGCTTTATATTACGATTATTCTTTTTTCCAAAATTACTCACCTAAGGAGATGTTATTTCTTCTGAAAGTTGTCAAATTTTTTTATAGAAATCTAAAACTCTTTTTGCTTAATGGTTAAATTTTGATAATCAAGAACATACTAACATCACTCATTAGTATCAGCTAAGAGTTGAGAATAGGTTACGTTTAATGGCAACAACTTTAGAGATTAAAAAATTATAATCGTATAAGTTGGTAGTTGTAATTCTCTTTCTGTTGTAATCATTATTAACTTAATGTATGTACGTATCATCTAAAATGACAAGCATTGTAATATCAATAGGGATGACTTTTTGAATACTCTTTATTATTTGATATCATTAATTGTCATATTTTGGACATGCACAAATCTCAGAAAAGAGTTGCTAAGCAGGCAAATGCAAATTTTTAGGTTAATTTACTAATGTGTAATTGAAAGGTTAAGCTGAGTTGTGGCAAATAATGGATAGATATCAGAAGTTACTGAGTATTATCAAAATCTGTACTTAATTACCTTATATACGCTATGGCAGAAAAGGGGATCGAATATTAAATCCGTTTTTATTTTATAATTAAATAATTATGACAAACAAAGTTGCTGTCTTGCTGGTACTTGTGGGGCTCATAAGCTGTAAGAATTGATTGTTAACTTTAGTTGCAAGTGCCTCTTTGATAAATGTGCAATCATTGGCTCAGATTGACGTAGAGTCTTACGGATGTGACAAGTCAAAGCTGTATGATGCCGAAGAAGGTCTCCAGAAACTTGGTGAGGCCCTCGCTTTTGCTTAGACAGGAAAATTAGATCAAGACATCAAGGAATTGAGAGAATTGCAAATGCTAGCTAAGAAGGGAATGGAAGAACAAGTGCAGGTTTCATTTGTTTAAGTTCATAATCTTCAATACCTTTATATGTTAAAACATAAATTTGACTCCCTGGCACTTATCGAGATGCCAAACACATTCGCTCGTCCTCATATTGATGGAATGAAATCATAGATTAACTTAGTTTTGGCAGCTACCGACACTTAAACCAGAAAAGCCTGTTGTGAGATGCTGTTCAAAATGATCGAAGTCTTACTTTTAGATCTTCTCGAATTAGAAGAAGAATGCTAGAAACCTATCACAATAAACATTGAGGGAGAAATCAGAAAAATTTAAATTATCAGAGGACAATGTGATAATACCCCAACTCCAGAATAACCACCAGTCATCCCTGTTGATCCCAAACCAATCTAACCCTAACCCAAAACTCCTATCATAATCATCCCTCCTAAACCTAAGGATCCAACTCCAAAACCTAAAGATCCAACTCCTAAACCTAAGGATCCAACTCCTAAACCTCCTGGACCTAAAGATCCAACTCCAAAACCTCCTGGACCAAAAGATCCAACTCCAAAGCCAAAGGATCCAACACCTAAACCAAAGGATCCCACACCTAAGCCACCCCCTAAGCCAAAGACTCCAAGTCCAACACCTTAAGTTGTCATTGATTGTGTCAAAGGTGCTAATGTGGTTGGAGACATGAGTGCAAGTTCAGATTAAGCTGTGGCTGATTCAGTGATCGAAGGCAAAGACCTTGCTGGAGCCACCGATTATGGTTATGGTTTCTGGTTGAGATGGTTGAGCAGATATCCAGATGAATTGATTTCAGGAAGAACAAAGAATACATATTACTTTGTATCCAGATTAACAACCAATCAAAAATTCAATGATGCAGAAATGGGCGATAGAGTTCTGGCCATCTGGCACTATGATACAGCCTTCCATTTCACTACATTAGATAAAGCATCTCGTAATCCAAATGTAAATCAGAACATCCCAACAGGAGACATCGAAGGATTATGGAGTTATGTCTACTACTCATATAGTGGAAGATTGAAGAAGGCTGTTGGTCTCTTGAAATTCGGAGCTAGTGGAAAGGTACAATAAGTCACATTAGATGTCACTCACGATATTCCCACATACTTGAGATTAATTGTAGGAGGTAGATAATTTAGTTATCCTGGATTCAATGGGTAATTCACTAATCCAGTCTTCAAGATTGGTGAAGGAGCTTACGTTAATTCTGAATTAGAATTATTCGATTACAATCTTAAATGCAATCCTTATCCAAAATTAGATTGTACTGAGAGAGCCAAGCAAACCTTGATTCATAAAGCTGTTAGATACAATGTTTAAACTGCTAAAGTACAAACAGTCAAAACAACTCTCGAAACACCATTCCCTGAAGAATATTCAGTTAGTGGTTGGTTCAAATGGAAGCAATTGGAGAAATAGGAACCATGGCACTTAATGTTCAGAGTGTTTTCCACAAAGGAGAATAATAATGCAAAGAATTTAGGAGATAGAGATTTGACCGCTTGGATTGGTACTGCAAATGATGGTATTGTCTTGTTGTCCACTTATTCATATAATAACTTATTTGGAGAAGGTAACCCAAATATCATGAATCAAATCCAACACAAGAATAGAATTCAAGAGTGGACATTTGTCTACTTCGGATATTCATTTAAACAAAAGACTGCTCATTCAATAGTCCACTTCAAGGAAGCTAGAGAAGAGAGAACATTTGAGAACGTTAACCATTTCTTGGTCCAAAGACTCTCAATCAATTTGGCAAAAGACGACCATTATCCTTCTTGGAATGGTATCATCGGCAAATTTAGAATTGACTTGTGTAATGGTGCTTATGATCCCAAATTCCCAAGAACTGCTACTCCAGTTCCAAGTCCATCCCCTTTAGGTCCAACTCCACCACCTTCAAAGACTGTTGAACCACCTCCCAAGACTCCAACCATCAAACCACCTCCCAAGCCAGTCAAACCACCCACTCCAGAAGTTGTAGTGTCACCACCTCCTCCCATCATTAAAACACCAGAAGTTATGCAAAAATGCATTGAAGGTCAAGCTGCAATCGGAGATTCATCTTCAGCCCCTGATGTTAAACCAGTTGCTGATATCCAAGTACCTGAAGAAGCCTTGAAGGATGTTACAGAATATGGTTATGGATTCTGGAGCAGATGGTTGACTAGACATCCAGAATAGTTATTCGAAGGAATGAGTGAACCATGGTATTTCGTATCAAGATTGACATCAAATGATCCATATGACAATATTAGAATGGGAGACAGATTGTTGGCAATCTTCTTAAGCAAAGATGGATACACATTCATCACAAATGATAAAGGAACTTCTAATCCAAATCTCTATAAATAATAACCATACAAGGACATTGAAGGTGTTTGGACATACATCCACTTCAGTTTCAGTCCATTGAAAAAGAAGGCTGTTGCCTTTGTTCATGCTAACAAAGAGACCTCATAGATTGAATTGGCTGGAATCACCCACGAAGCTCCAAAGAAATTAAGATTCATTTTGGGAGGTAACGATCTCAAACTCTATCCTGGATTCAATGGTTAATTCACAAGACCAGTCTTGAAGATCGGTCCAGGTTCATTCATCGGCTCTCCTGAAGATGTTCAAAAGTATGCCTTATCATGCAACCCATTACCAGAACCAGATTGCAAGAAGGGAAGAGGAGTCAGCAATCTGATTGAATCAACAAAGGAATTCAACAAAGGAAGTGAAGTCACAATGTTTGTTGCAGATAATGAACGTCCATTCCCAGATAATTACGCCATTGGAGGTTGGTTCTTGTGGACACCAACTGAATAAGAAGATTGGCATTTAACATTCAGAGTTACAATCAATGGATAAAAACACAATAAGAATGACTAATTATTGGGAGACAGAGATCTCACAACCTTCTTGAGCAAGTCAGGTAGTTATCACTTTGCTACCTATACATACACTGATAACTTCGGTAAAGGAAATCCCAACAAGTACATTAATACTGAACATCAAAACAAACATACTGAATGGCATTACATTTACATGGCATATTCTCGAGAGTAAAAGAGAGTATTGACTATTCTCTTCACAAAAGGAGATAGACAAGTCAAATACATTGATGAGGTCAATCATTATCTTGCTCCCTTGTACAAGATCTTCTTAGGAAAGGATCAATTCTATCCAGCTTATAATGGTTATTTAGCAAATGTTCAATTCTTTGCTTGTGAAAGTGCATATGATCCCGATTACAAACCACCTGGATAACCAGAAGTACCCAAGTAACCTGAAGTGCCAGTCAAACCACCTGAGCCATAAAAGGAACCAACATGCTTGAAGGGTGACACAACTATCGCTGATACTGCTTTTGATTCATAGAAACCACTGGTAGATTTCGTGTTAGACAAACCAGAATAATTGTAAGATGTTAGAGAATATGGGTATCAATTCTGGATGAGATACATGACTCGTCACCCTGTCCCAATGTATCAAGGTAAAAGAGCTTCTTGGTACTTTGTCGCTAGATTATCAGGCAGAAAAGACTTTGAAGATGTTGGAAAAGGCGATAGATTATTGGCAATCTATTAAGCTAGATCAGATTATGCATTTGTTACCAATGATCATAAGAATAACAATTTCAATACAGATGCTGGTCGTTTTGAATTCGGAGATATTGAAGCTGTTTGGACATTCGTTCATTTCTCATATACTTCTGCAGGTAAAGTAGTTTCATGGATCCAATATGACAATAGTGAACCAAAGACTTTCTCTGTTGCTGCTACTCATGACAAACCTGATTATTTGGAATTTGTTTTAGGTGGTACTCAGGGCAATACTTATCCAGGATTCAATGGTCAATTCACATCAGTTGTTATCAAAGTTGGATAAGGTTCATTCGTAGAAACAGCTGAATAATTCCGTAAGTTTGCTATCAATTGCAATCCTAAACCACTCCCAGTTTGTAATAAGGCTAAGGAAGTTGTTTTGATTGAAAAATCAAAGAGATTCGAAGCTTAAAACAGTGAAGTCAATGAAATCACATCTCCAGAAGAGTAAGCATTCCCAGATGAATACTCCGTTAGTGGTTGGTTCAAATGGAGATCAACAGTCATGGAACCATGGCATTTAGCTATTCGTCTTCATCAAAATAAGGGTATGGAGAATGCCAACGCTGCCAAGTTGGGAGATAGAACCATAGGTGCATTTGTTGGAAATAATGGAAACTATGCAATTACAACCTATACTTATACTAATTTGAATGGAGAAGGTGATCCCAATAAATATGTTTAAGTGCCCTACAAGGATCAATTAGCTTAATGGCATTTTGTATTTATTGGATACAGCAGGGCTAAGAGATAACTTGTTGGTTTCTTGTAATGGAAGGACAGAAAGGAAAACATTAACTTGGAAAACATCAATCATTATCTAACCAATTCAGTCTATGTCAATGTAGGAAAGGATAGATTCTACCCAGCATTCAATGGTCACATTGGTTCATTGAAATTGTAATTGTGCAGTGGAGCATTCACCCCAGTGTTCCCAGAAGATCCTTAACCACCTTAGGTACCATCTACTCCACCTCCTCCCAAGCCAGTTGACCCAACAAAGCCTGTTGATCCTACTAAACCAGTTGACCCAACAAAACCAGAAGATCCAGTTCAACCACCCAAACCTGCAGAACCTGAAATTGTCAGAAAGTGTGTTAGTGGTTAAGTTCAAATTGGAGATATGCCTTCTAGTGGCGATAAAGTTGTTGATCTCAAGGTCACTGAAGATAAATTGGGAAGTGCAATTGAATACGGATATGGATTTTGGACCAGATGGCTCACAAGATGGCCAGACACTCTTATTAAGGGAGCCAGTGAACCATGGTATTTCATTTCTAGATTGACAAATAATGATCCATATGACAACATTAGAATGGGAGACAGATTATTGGCTATTTGGTTAGGTTAGGCTGGTTATACATTTATTACCAATGATGTTGCTTCAGGTAACCCTAATCTTAGTAAATAAATACCTTATGGAGATATTGAAGGTGTTTGGACCTATATTCATTTCAGTTACAAATCAGGATAAGCTGTTGGTGTTGTTAGAATTGGAGACAAGACTCAATTCACAGTTCTTGATGCCAAACACGACCAACCTAAATTCTTGAGATTGATTGTCGGTGGTTCTGATCTCAAATAATATCCAGGATTTAATGGTCAAATCTCATCGCCAATTCTTAAATTAGGCGCTGGTTCATTTGTAAATACTGAGGAGGATTTCAATAAATTCGTGTTAGCATGCAATCCAAGACCTGAACCAGATTGCAAGGGTAAGACTGAAAGCAAATTGATTGAGGGTATAAAGAAATATGAATCTACACAACCAGAGTTTTATGAACATGTTAGAGACGAGAAATCTCTCTTCCCAACTATGTATGGTATTGGTGGTTGGTATAAATGGGAACCAACAAAGTAGGAACCATGGCATTTGGCATTTAGAATTACAACAAACGATTAGAAGACCAATAAGAATGCCGAAGTGTTGGGAGATAGAACACTCGCAGTATGGTTAAGTGATCAATAATTGTATGCATTTGCCACATATTCTTATACAAACATGTTTGGAGCTGGACAACCAAATGCAGCCTAAGTGATTAAACATTAAGACAAACATACCGAATGGCACTATATTACATTCTAATACAACAGAGAGACCAGAGAAGCCTATGGATCAATTATATTTAAGGATGGTAAATTAGATTTGAAATTCCCCAATACAAATCATTACTTGGTTCCAGTGTTAAGAATCTTGATCGGAAAGGATCAATTCTACCCAGCATTCAATGGATATATTGCTGATGTGACATTTGTTAATTGCCAAGATCCGTACAATCCACAATTCACTCCAGGAAACCCACCTGAATTACCAAAACCACCTGTTATTCCAGTTGAACCACCCTAGCCATTCCCAGAACCTAAGTGTTAGATGGGTGATGAGACTGTTGTAGATTCTGCATTCGATGATGTCAAACCATTGGCTGATATTGAAGCAACTCCAGAGAATTTGAAAGACATCAGAGAATACGGTTACTCATATTGGGTTAGATATTTAAGCAGACATCCCAAACCAATGTACTAGGGTAAGAGCGAACCCTGGTATTTCATGAGTAGATTGACAGTCAATAAGGAATATTAGAATGTTGAGAAGGGAGACAGATTATTGGCCATCTGGTAAGGTCAAGGAGCATACGCCTTTATTACAAATGATTATAAGACCAGTAATTGGAACGCCGCCAAAAACATTGAATATGGAGACATTGAAGGAGTTTGGACATATATTCATTTCAGTTACAGCAGTGTTACAAGTCAATCAGTTGGTTTTGTCAAGTACACAGGCAAAGAACCCTAATCAGTCACATTCGACGTTACTCATGATAAACCAACATTCTTAAGACTCATCATCGGAGGATCAGATCTCAAATTATATCCAGCCATCAATGGTCAATTAACAAGAGCTGTCTTTAAGATTGGTGCTGGTGCTCATCTTGACACTGTTGATGAATTGAATAAGTTTGCCTTGGCTTGCAATCCTCAACCAAAAGAAGTCTGCTCCAAGGCCTTTGAATAAGTTCTCATTCAAGAATCCAAGAAGTTCGAATTAGCCAAGTCTACAGTATTGGAAATCCCCTCTGATCCTGAAGCTGCCTTCCCATCCGAATACAGCGTTTCAGGTTGGTTCAAGTGGAAAGAAACATCTATGGAATAATGGCATTTAGCATTCCGTCTCCACATCAACAAGGAAGAAGCAAACAAGAATGCTGAGAGATTGGGAGATCGAACATTGGCTGCCTGGGTGTCACCTGCTCAAGATGGTATCTATGCCTTCGCCACCTACACCTACAAGAATTTGAATGGAGCTGGAGAACCAAATCTGGCTAAAGTTGTCCCACAAAAACAACAATAGACAAATTGGCATTTCATTTTCTACGGTTACAACAGAGACACCAGAAAAGTAGAGGGATACGTCCAATTCAAAGACAGAAAGGAAACCCTACTCTTCGAGGATGTCAACCATTTCTTGGTACCATAAGTTTACTTGAATATTGGTAAGGATCGTTTCTATCCTTCATGGAATGGTCACATTGGTAAATTCAGAATGAATCTGTGCGGTGGAGCTTCCAGACCTGTTTTCCCCAAAGGTACTCTATTCTCATTATTATCCCCTTAGATATTGATGTTCCTCCTCCCGTGACCCCAACTCCAAAACCACCAGTCTCTGAAACTAAAGAGTAATTTATATTTTATATATTTTAGAATCTGTCTTATCAATACTAAATTGGTTGAAGTAACTAAGAATAACTTCAAAGATGTTATCAAATAACTTGAAGCTCTTGAAAACTCAGAGCCTACTGAAAAGACATGTTATTGCACTGTCCCAAGAAAAGCTTCAATGTTTATTGAATTGTATGGAGAAGAATTGTCTAATCATGTCGACAACCCAGTTATCTAAAGATTGATAGCTCAAAATCAGGTGCGTTTGAGGATATGATTTATCAAATTATGTATCATTCTGCAAAAGAACATGCCTTACTCTAGTACTTCAGTTATTGGTATGTCTGATATTTCCCCCCTTCGTTCAAATCTGGCATAAAACTCTATAATTATGGACTCGATTGTTTCTTAGGGGCACTGATATGCTTTGTGAAGTCACTCTGTCTTAACTTCATCGTTTGGGTTAATTATTATAATTTTGTGTTATTTGATATCATGTACTTAACACAGTCAGGTTGAGAGTACTCCCTTCCATACTTTCGTAATTGAGAAGGGAATGCTTAATCTGGATGATCTTTCCAACTCTTTAATTACACTTATCCGCCATCATTAATCGTTACAAAAAAATCTCGACCTTTTCCATCCCCAAAATAATGTTGAATTCTTTAATGTTAAGGAGGAAGTAATCCCCTGCTTCGAGAACTAACTTATTAAAATATACTTTACTTTGTTGCACTTTTTGGAAATATCATCTTTGTGAAATCAGCCTTTGGAGACAAATCGAGTGAGCTAAGCATTTTTTAAGACAAAAGACCACCATTTGTATGTTTTACATATTGATCCCTAATATTGATACGTCAATCTTACCTTCCAGTCCCATCATTATGATAATGAAAATGCTTGGCATCAATCTTTGGATACTTATAATCTTGCATAATTTTATTATTGTTCTTTATAAAAATAGTTTTGTAATTATATATATATATACTTAATAACTTAACATGTTATGGTTATCCAAATAATCAAATTAATAATACATCATGAATTGATTTTTGAACATTTGTAAGAAATAACTAGTACTTATGTCTATAATTTTGAATTTTTAGAATAGAATTCAACTTTTCTCATTTCATTTTGGATAGAGATAATTTTGAATTACTTGCTCTTTCTATAACTGAATTATTGAATTTTCAGCTGGTCTCACATTCATAATATTCTTAATAAAATCCTGCATTGAACCCACTCTCCATTAAGATAACTTCTATGAGCCTTATTAACACACTGCTTATCTAACCTTTTCTGATAAGAAGCCTGAATTACATAAAATTACTTCTAAAATATCTTTAATCATTTTAGCAATCACTTATCAATAATTACAAATTATTGTATAATCAGGTCTATCCTGCATTTCAAACTATTGAATTAATCCTATTATTTACTAAATATTTTTTTAATCATTTTCTACATCGCTACATTAAATCATAATCTTTAAAATATTTTATCCTTTTATGAATGATTTAGCACTGTTATACAAAAAGCCCTTGAATCAATTGCTCTTAATTTACCAATATATCAGCTATAAGAGAATTAACTAATAATATCAATAGTTTTCATATTATTAATATACAAAAATGAATAATCAAATTTCGTCTGTAAATTGATCTCTAATAGGTTCAAATGTATAAGATTGTAAGTGACTGCCTTTCAATCTTAGGTATTCATTAAAAAGTCCTCCTAGACAACCTAATACAACAATAAAAGGAGATAATAACAATTCCTCAAACAAAACGAGGTTGAATGAAGTGGTTTTATTTTCAACATCCTAAAATTGAAATAATGAGGATACCTCAATATCCAAAACACTAAATATTAACCCTTAAAGAAATCCAATAGTGGTACTAATAACTATGAATGATACAATCTAATTTGGAGTTTCCATAATGGTCCTCTATTAGACTTTTTGCGTTAAACCAACAAAAAAATTGATTAGATCAACAATTAAATAGCATATAGTGGAATTCAAAGACATTCCCAAAATCACAAATAAAGGAATCTTGCTATAAAAATTCAAACCTTAATGCCTATCATATTCTACTACTTGATTACCATTCTTGATCAAAGTATAAATAGAAGCATGTAAATCCTGATAGAATTATAACAGCCGCATAAGATAATACAAATTTTTGTTTTAAAGTCCATTGAGTAAAAATTCTATAATTGACTAACATTTTAGTTCTCATCAAAATGTAACAACCTGTTAATATAAATATTAATCCAAAATACTTCCTACATAACATAAATTATTTACAGCTGAAAATAAAATATTGAATCGAATTTCAATCAATATAAAATTCCCGACAGTTGTTGATAAAACACATAAAATTGCTCCAAGTACTCCAGAAATAACCAATTGAGCTTATTCTTTTTTGGTGATCTTCCACCAAAAATTAGATTGCATTTAATAAAATAATCTAATTTTATTAAAACTAATTCACAAAATAGTTTCTAATAATATATATGTTCTTTACTTCTCTTATCTTTTATAAAGACTGCTGTTTTGAATGCTACAATAATCTTTATTAAATATCAAATCCCTTATAATTGGAGATGGTTCAATACTGTTCATTTTTTTAGATGGCTTAAATTATCTCTGTGAAAATAACATTACGTGTTATTTGAATACAGGTTTTTGTATTTCCCATAAAATAAAAATAATTCCCTTTATTTTAAAGTACATTTATTTAAATAGAAGGAGCAACTTGCTAAAATGATCAATTAAAGCTTTCATTTATTTATAATTCTTTAAAGATAAATAAGTAAAATGAATCATTTATCATGGAATTATCATGTCTCTTTAGCTTGGATTCAAATAATCATCTCTTTGAATTTCGCATTTAGATTTTTATTTTTTCTTGGTTGCTTCATGATCTCTTAAAATTGATCCGCTTAGAGAGAAGGAGGATCATCGTGAGTTAAATATAATTTTGAGGAGAAGTTGAGTTGACTGATACCAACTTTTTCTTTTTCCTAGTATAATTAGGAATTATACTTATTTTATAGAGATTTATTTTTCAATATCATAGTATATTTCATCCATTCTATCATCATCACCAGTTATGTTACTAACAATAGGAGTAAGTTTCAATTAAACGATATAAGGTTAGAACGATGCTTCAATATCGCTTATACTGTGTTGTTTGTATTGTTTCTCGGCCACGAATTAACATGTTCCCATATTGATTTCTTTGGAATAATTATTATTAGGGATTTAGCATTATGAAATCCAGATAAATCCTCAATCAATTATATTTATTTGATTTACAATATTACAACAAGAAATTAAATTATAAAATTGCTATAATTAGCACTTTTCAGTAACAACATTCTTTGTGAATTATATAAAATATGAAAATATGTATATAAATAATCATCGTTCTCACTTTCAAAATGTGGCTTGTCTAACTTATAAGCATTTTGACTTTTCATCCCATATAACCAAAAATTAACCATCATTAGTCAATGAGCCATAATTACAATAATGACCTATGTTTATGACTTGTGAGATCTCCAAACTGTGTGACTCATTCATTTTCATGATGTAAACGAATTAGCCATGCTTATTTATAAGAACCTGCTTTTATTCATTATAAATTGAAGGAAAAAAGTTTTAATAACCCTCACTAGAATATTGCAACATTATATGATGTTTATCCAATTCAAATTGATTTGTTTTTGTGTCATACTCATAAAAATACGTTTTATTTTAACTTCGCGGTTACCAGGCTATTTTTATATCATCCATAAAGCAAATTCTATAACCAAAATCGTCATTCTTTATGCTTTGCTTTAAGTTCCATACTTTAGACTTATTCAATTCCCATATTAATATCATCTTATCTTCCCCACAAGAAACAAGCAAATTCTGGGATTTGCTCAGACTTATGCATCTGACATAAGCAGAATGATTTGTTAGAGTCTGAACTTGGAACCATAAGGATTATTGGTTCTTTCTCCAAATCCTTATTGTCTTGTCACAACTACATGATATTATTTGGTGATTATTGTTGCTCATCAATAAACAATCAATTTATCTTTTGTGTCCCAAGAGTACTTATTTGCAGAGCCAAATATTATTAATTAATTGCCAGTATCGTATTGACTTATCAGTACTACCAGAAACAAATTCATTCTTGTCAACACTAAATTAAAGTGATATAACTTGATTCGAATGACCCTACAGATTTTGGATATGTTTTATCTTCCCATTGTTGAACTCCCAAATAGCTATGTCGTTTGAACATCCGCTAATCATTATGGTTTAATCAAAATTAACAGATATTGCATAGCAATTTTAGACTTATTAATACTTACTTATAATTTGATATTATATTGGTTGTTTTTCCTCAAAATCCATATTCTCTTTGTCTATTTGAATATCTTCATAACCATTATTTTTTGGGGATGAAAAGGCACTATCATTCTCCTTTCTTTGATTTTTCTTAATCAAATCAGAACCAATGTCATAAGATTGAATTTATATCAATTCTTACAGTTTTTGAGTATTTTTGGATGAGCTCCCAATTTCATTTATTTGATAATAGATGTCATTTAAACAATTTTGATCTGAAGAGCTAGCTGATTTACTAATTTCCTAAGAATGGCATAAAGTAGATCTTAAATTATCGTATAAATTCTATTATTATACTTTCAACTCTTTTACTTATTCTTATAGTAATTTCAAAGCATAATCAGAAAATTACTAATACTCACTATGAATCATTTGGTTTTGAGACTCTTCATTTTTTATCAGTATTTCCACTCTTTCCAAAATGTCATCTTAGGATAAATTTATCCAATCCTCATTAACCATATTAATGTTAGATAAGATTTTTCGTTTGTTTATAGCCAATATATCTTCAAATTATACTCTTACTCCTTTTAATTGTTCTATAATTTGCTACTCAATTTTCTTATTTTGATCTCGTATTTACTCATATTAAGCTTCCATGTCAAAGATTTACTACTAAAGATAGGCTCTCTTTTTTTATTCGAAAGTCTTCCATTTTTCTTTACATTTTGTTAATGACCAATATGTTTCTGGCATACATTCAATGCAACACAATCTCATTGATTTTTCAATATTTTCATTCATATCTATCATTATAATTTCTTTTTGATGCTATTAACAAACTATATTCAATTTTGGTGTTTCACTTGAACTTCCTCTCAATATTTCTGGATCAGATTCAATCAGCAGTAATTTACCAACGATATTAATCTCATTTTTCATTTAATACTCGTTTTTCAAATCACGCAAAAGATCTAAACAATTTTAAATTCCTTCGAAATTATTGATCTATTGAAGCACTTCAGAAAGTGGTTGTGTCCAGTTCAATTCATTTAATAGCTTTTACTGCTAACAGTAACTGTATTAATACTCTATTATCTATTTGACCTGTTAATTGAAGCCTATAACTTCAGATTCCACGTTTTTCATCACTTCCTCTTCTTCTTGTTTATCAATTTATAATTGAGTTTGTATAATATTGATTCCATTGTCGATAAAGTTATTGATCTCTTATTTCATTTTACATAAATTGTCCAATAGTTACATCAAGTAAGTTCTTTTGAGTTGATTAATTTCATCGCTCTTCTATTATTGGAGAGTGACGAAATTCTCAAGTATGTTTTTGATGTCTCTCAAGGGGACTATTGATCGAGATGTGCTTCCAACGAGGCAGTATATACATTACAACATTTCTGGCAATTATATGTTAGGATCTAAATTAATTGCAATTGCCTCGGAATTGTGTAAGGGACACTCTACTTTAATTAACTAGGATGACATTATGCAAACAAGAATAAATTATCAAAATTTATGGTTTAAGAATTCACTTTCAGTCCATACAAATAATTAAAATGAATAAATACGCAAATAAGATTCAATTATTAATGTTAATCCAACATGTGTATATCTATTTTAAGAAAATATTTTATAAATTTAGTCCATTAATATTATTAATTATGAAGTAAATGAATTTTAGTAAATAAATTATTTAAAAGCACTTTACACAAACAACCATTATGAATTAGAGTGCAAGCATCGTTGAATTTGTTATTTATTATCTATGGTGGATTATGAATGAGAAATAAACTATAATTATTTTTATTTATTTATGTATTGATTTAGATAGTATAATGTATGATAATTATATTATAATTAAAGTATGTATCTGTCAGAATTGATTATATTTTTATAATGGATAATTATAAATACAAAAAATGATTGGTTTTTTTGAGTCTTGAATTAATTTATTTATATTTCTATTTATTGTTTCAAAACCTTAATAATGAGAATCCCATCTAAATCAAAGATTGTGGGAGTCGGAATAATTGTAATAGCAGCAATATGTGCTTTTAAATTCTACAGAGAGAAGGAGCACTATAAAGGAATAAAAGACTAATACAAAAACAAATAGGGATCACTATAGGACTAAGTTTACTAATATGAATCCAAAATAAAACAACTAAATGACAAGGATATTGAAAATCAAATGATAATAAGAGATTTAAATGATAAAATAAGGGTACTTTAAAATGAAAAATCAGCCATTCTACATAAAATAATCAAATTTGAAGAAGAAAGATAGAACTTTGAACAATCGAAAGAAGAGAGAAAAATATTGGTAGAGAACATTAGAGATAATATGTCTGTCATTAAGAGTAACCTGAAGGAATTTAAAGAAGTAATTTCATCGCTAGATAATCACGTTTCTTAATTGGAAAATAAGAATAATTGATAAATTCTCTTTCTATTTATACTAGAATTTTTTTGCAATTATAACGATAAAATAATATTAACTTATCATTTTCTATACTTATTTGTTTTTTTCTAAGCTGCACTAACTTATGCAGTGGAAGCGCCGCTTGCTTTGAATGTGTTTACTGTTTCATTTCCTGCATTACCTCCTTAAGTTCTGCTATGTATTTATTTCTTCTTTTTCCACTCTTTTCTGTCATACTTAGGTAACCATCTCTCAGGATTAGGCAATGGTCCAGGATTGGTCTTGTCAAAGTTTTTGGGATATCTAATTCTCTTCTTCTTCTTCTTTTGAATCTTCTTCACTTACACTTCCACTTTCTTTGATAATCCTATATTCTTTTCTAAATTTTCGATTTCATTCATGTCTGTTATTCCATCATATTGTAAAGAATCAATAAATTTAGCTCCCTATTCAAGCTATCCCTTTTCAATACACAACAAGGCCAATTGACTCTTGATTTGTTGGTCATCAGTATAATATTACAAAGCTTTTTGAAGATTGCTTCTTTTAATGTAGTAATTGCAAACCAAGGACTTATGAAATTGAGCAATCAATTAAATTTACTTATCATAAGGAGAATCATCAGGCAATTTAAGGATATGAGCCAAGATGAAAGTACTCAAGACTTTATTCTAGTTCCAATTTTTGACATTGCACAATTCAATTATTTTGTTGGTGTTATCATTATTGGTAGCAAATATTAAATATTGATATGGATCCTCTATTGGTTATTCCCATTTTTATCTGTTAATTGCAATTTGAACAGATAGAGGCAAGCCGTGTTCCTTTGTTGGTCTATTCTTAATAATTTGTAGAATTGCTTTATTAATTTTTAACACATTAAGTTATGGAGGTGTAAATTTGTAATCTGATGACAGTGCTTCTTCGACTCTTTTTAATGAATCATGATGTGGATGTATAAATTCTTAAAACACTGCCAAGTTATTCAGTAACACTGCTTATTCTGAAGTCTTCTCTAAAAGTTCATATCTACAATCAGATGGATAATTACTATTTAACTTTGCTTTTGTAATCCCCTGGATTTATGACATCTAAAATTAATTGTGCTAAAAATAGATCTTCATCCTACTCATTCTCAACCTTCACCATGTTTTCAAATCTAATAGTCAGTTCTTTTGCTGTCTTCACACTAATTTTGATAATATGTTAAACTTACTCATTCAATTATAAATTAAGCAAAGCATGGTTAAGTAATAGCTCTCTGGCATACTGACTTTTATTCTTTTTAATGAATTCCGTAATTTATTAATTAATTTGTCTCATCTAATTCTCGTCATTTTATTGAATAGCTGCATTAGCAATATTTGTTAAAATATCTTGAGAGTCCTTTTGAAATTTGCTCTTTATACATAAATATACTATTATACATCTTTAAGCAATTTCTAAAACAGTTAAATCGCTTGTTCAAACTCTCCTAACTTCAAATAGGCCTATCCCATTAATAGTTGATCTTCTGGGATATTTTTTCTAGATTCTGCTACAACCTATTGATATTATCCTTCCGCATAGAGTTAATATAGTCTTGTGAATGGATACAGAGGGTGATCTTTCAGTCCCTTCAAAATTTATTAGGCTTCCTAATAATTCTTATTGTTTATTAGCAAGATTGCTTTTGTTAATTAGACGTTTGGTGTTTATTCACATTGATTTGCCACTTCCAACAATTAGGCAGGCGATCCTGTGTGCAATTCTTCCACTAACCTTTGTATTGGAGTTCTTTAGTCCATAAACACGTGTTTACTAATATTAAATAATAAAATATATGGCAGAAGAATTAATTTTGAAAATTTTAGATGTAAATCCCTTCACTTCCTTATCAGGCATTGGCAATATCGTCTTGGGAACAGGAGAATGGTTAACTCCTGAGAAAGAAACCAAAATCATAATTGAATTTGGTAATGCTATCCTCTCCAAAATATCCATTTGTATTTAAATTTAACCTAATTAGAAAAGAGAACTATAAGGCAGATTAAGTTAATTTAACTCTAAGGGGAGAAAATTGCGATGATCTTTATTTTGAAAAGGCAATTTGGAAGAAAAATGGCAATTGGAATGAAACATGCACTATTGAAATAGAGCCAGATTGTCAAGACATATTCAATTAAATGATGGTTGAAGTCATCAATTATGGTTCTGTAGATTATAAGGGATTGAAAAGAATTAGGGTTTTTGGGATTCAGGATGGATAATTGTATAGTTAAAGGAAAAATAATGTGAAATAATTGAAGAAGCAATCGAAAGGCAAATAGAAGCAGAAGGGAGATTCATAAGAGAAGAGTGAGCAAAAGGAGAAGATCTAAAAAGTGAAAATAAATGAATCCTCCCTCAAAAAAAACAATCAATGGGGACTATATAATAGAGTCTAAAATCAAGTTAATAAAGAGTTTGTGTTTGTGGATCCAAGAGAGAAATTGAGGAATATTCACAAAAGCCCTTCTCCAATTAAGGAAGAGAGTCAGTAGTCCAATTAACCTACATATCAAACGCCTAAGCGATCTGAAACACCTGCCAAAAAGGGATATAGCATTAATGAAAGGCATATGATAAGGTACAATCTTAATTAAATTGATAAACAATTCTTGGAGCTGCATTAAGAATGTAACAATCCCATCTTTAATATAATTTATAGTATAAAAAAGCTCTGGTATTGGGAAAGAAATGTAACTAACCTTTGCTAATTTTTAAGTCTACTGGCTTTAATGAACAATATTAATTCGTGTTATTATTATTTTAAGTAATTGATATTAGCTGGGTCATGCACCTAACTCATTGAAAGCTTTTACAGATTTAAAAAGTTAAGATACTTCATTAACTCTGGTAAACTCTATGCAAAATGCTTGCAGCTTTTGTACTTATAAACAGCTTACTTCAGTCAGAAGATCTTTGGTCACTATGGCCTTCGTTTTTAAAAAGTGCCTAATAAAAATGCTGACATATTTAACTATTTTAGTTTAAGTGGATTTTTCCTAATTGAATGTATAATATAATTTACTTTAATATTATTACAATATTAAATACAATAATACACATAATATGTAACGAAATCAGGAGGTATTTTCATTGAATAATTTATCATTGCAATTAATTCAATAGTAGCAGGAGTGACATCAATATTTATAAAAACATCCAAATAACTTAAATAATTAAATGCTTTACTCTTAGAAATCAGAAGACTTCACATTTTTCATTAAGAAAAAGAGTACTAAGTTTGCATTATTTTCTATTAAATCAGGTAATTTTTAAGTTGTAAACCCACAATTCTTCAATAAATATTCATCATTTTCTAAGAAGTCTTAAATTAACTATGCTATAGATTTTGTTTACCTTGTATTCTTAATCACTGACTTAAGTGCAACAGGCTTTCTATATAATTTCCTTTACTTAACTCAATTTATCGCTATTAATTTAAAGAGTGTAATTCCATTATAAATTATTAAGCATGCCAATCTCATTCCAATATAATGTATTTGTCTTTACAAGGGCAGGAATAGGTCTTAAATGGTCTATCTAAAATTAGTCTGAATCCAAGTTAAGCTTCTTTATTTTATCCATTAAAAATCAAATAATAATAATTAAAATATATAATCATCAGGGTATATATGATTATTACACCGAAACATTTGTAAATTCATTAACACTTACATTCAAATTTGAGACCAATTTCCAACCATCCAGATTAACTTTTTGTAGCATTTATTGTTCCTAAATGTGTATGGGGATTTAACATATAACAGGGACAGATAACCAAGTCAGGAATGAATCCTAATTTTTAAGAATTGAATTACAACTATTGCCTCTAATTAAAAAAAGTATTAGTTCTTAATAGTGTTGGTCTTCAGTGAGGCTTTTAAGTCTTTTGGCAATTCCAAAAGAGACACTATTCTATCCTTACTTTATCCTGCTAAGAGACCATCCCAATTTTGTGAAACAACCACTTAATCTTCAATAATTCTTTCTACCTCATCGTTGTCAATGAAAATCAATTTATGAATAACTCTGACTTCAATTCTATTAACAGGTCTCTATGATCGAGTATTATCGACAGAGTAATCGACAGATATTTTGTCTCCAGGGAAAAATTTGTTTGTCTTTAATCTCACTGACAATTCGACTGCTCCACTATTTAAACAAAGGAAATGAACTATATTCCCTTCTAACTATCTGAATTATTCGCTTTCTTTAAATCTACCATTGAGATAGACATCAGTACTTTCCATCATCACAGTTCTTGCTTCTTCTGTGGAATCTATTTTCAATGTAATCATGTAGCCACATTTCCCTTATTTCTATCCTTTTTATATTTAAGATATTAATACCATCAACACTCTTATAATAGAAACTTGATGGCATGTTGAATTGCGTTGGAACAATAAAATTGAATTTATAATCTCCTGCTTTAACACTACCATTATAAAGCTCCTGGGTGTAGATAAATGAGTCATGAGTTCCATAATGTCTAAATACTCGAAATAATAGGTTTCCACTTAACTCGTATTTCTTTTAAGTATATTTTGGTTATTTTAATGGAGAATCCAGAGTAATTTACACTTACTTCTCTTTCTCTATTAACTTATCAGGTATCATCTGGGGATTGCTTTCATCATAGGGAATCTAATTTGATCACTTAAACGTTTACTTGTTTTTTCTCTAAAACCTTCGAATATTCTTTAGTTTGAAAAGTCAAAACAATTTAGACCTTCGGCATATCTTAAGGTATTCTAACATAGCAACAACCTGTTATTTATTCACCAGCGAGAGTGACGGCGTCATTAAATTAAAATAAAATTGATTTGCTCATTAGAAATATAAATATTTTTTTAGATACAATTAATCAAGTTATTGATTAAGTTCTTATATGCAAATAAAAAACTTCATTATATAATCAATATCAAATTAAATTTTATATCATTTGTAACTTTTCTTAATTCCCTCTTTTTCAAATTTTATGCATGCAATCTTCCAAAAATTGAATTCCAATTAAATTCATAAATTTATAATTTGTCTATCGTTTTTTCCTTTAACATTAACTTTTTTGTCAAAGAGTTATTTTAATAATTTATATACTTTTTTTTCCTTAAAGGAATTATTGTGCCCGAGGTGTTTATTATTTATCACTCCACTAATTTATCATTACAAATGGTAATATTTTAATAATTATATTAATTAAATTATCAATGTCCAAAACACCTAAACTTGAATAATTTTTGACCAACATTAATTAAGAAATAGACAACGAATACATCTTTCACCATTACATCTCCTCAAACTTAGAGGATTTCAAAGAATTTGACTAATCTAAAAACCCATAGCAATCACTTTGTGGAGCACATGTCTCTTAACAAGCACTTTCATTTCAATGCTTTGATTGTGCTCCAGATCCTCATCACATGTACTGCGGAAACTGTTTTTAGTTGGAGTTGCATCAAAGTATAAATTCTCTATTATAGGAAAGATCACAGAGCATTTTTTAGGAAAGAAGCGAGTGGTTGTTGTGATTGTGGGGATCCTACTGCCATTTCTAATAAGGATTCATTTTGTAAATTACACAAAGAATAGAAAATTGATATCACAAATGAAATATCAAAGGTTAAACCAAATATGACAGAAGCAGTATTAAGGTTTCTCAAGGACTCCATTTAAATTTATTTTTCAAAATGTGAAGAAGCTGTGAGTTTAGTGTCGAATATCCCTAATCCATTTTTAATTTAATGTTGTCACATTAGTCATGTAATAAATTATAAGTAGGTTTATAAATTATTAAACAATCATTACAATATAAGAAATACTTATCAAACCATCTTATCTGCAATTCGTATTTAAGATATTATTATTGATTTTTTATGTTGGCTTTGTAAAGACAGGACTTGCTTTGCTCTATTGATAGCAGGTTTTCTAAAATCTTAATATACTGACGGGGTCACTTATTTTGAATAAATTATTCACTATTAATAATTAAAACTTCTTTTAGATGTTGATGATGACAATAAGTTTGATAAATTGCTTTATAATTTGAATATAGATGAGAATTTTAGGTTGTTTACCCAAGACGTGTTTTTGACAAGACAGAATGACTTATGGAAATTTTTTGAAATTGAAACCTTTGACGGAGCTGTAATCGTTGAAGAGTTCATTTCAGCATTTGAAAATTTCGTATAAACTGGCATATTTTATACCAAGGAGAAAAATTAGTTATAATTATTTGAGAATTATTTTAAAAAGATGAATTCTTGTAAAGAAAAATACATAGCTTGTTCAATTAAAGCTGCTAGATTCTTTTCAATGTAATCTTAATTTGTTTCAGAAGAGTTTTAGAACATTTAATTCACATCCCCAAAAATAAAGTAATTATTAGATATGAATACTAAATTATAGAACATATTAAATACTTGCCAATTGGGCAGTTTAGACCATTGTTATTAAATGCTAGAATTTTTTTCTTTAAAATTTTAATACAATTACTTTATCAAGAGTTTTAACAACACTTTATCTCAGTTGTTTCAAAATTATTAAACTTAACAGTTGACAATTGATGAGATTGCCTCACTTGACCCTGAACTATTTTTTTTGACTGCTCTTTTTAAGAGTTATAGTAATGTCAGCGGATTTTCTAATTCAAATAAGCTTTACTAACCACTTATATCAGAAACGTAAATATAACTTAATCTTTTATACTTGGAATCAAGATATGTCAACATCATAAAATAGTGTTTGGCAAAATATCTAGCATCTCCATAAATTACAACAATGGCTAAATCAAACTTCATCAATATCTTATTCTACTGGTCTTATGAATTAATCAGGTCAAATAAAAATAATAAAGAATAGTATAATTATTTACCTGAATTCTATAAAAATAATATTGAGGCAAATACTGAGAAGGACCAAACAAACACTATTATTAGATTAAACTACTGTATTTATAGAAGTGGATCAATAATTGATAAATATTTCATCATTCTTTTAACTTATTTATTTCAAGAAAACGAATTTTAATCATCAAATTAATTTAGAATGTATCTATAAACTACTTTGAAATAAGATGAGTAAGATTTACAATTCAATTTATACAAGATCTTTGAAAGATGTGTGCACAATTTCATAAGCCTTCTGTATACTCCTTTGAATGAGCAAGTTTCTAACACCTACTTTGCCATAGGAAAAGAATAGCTGGAATCTTATGATATAGCTTTTATCAAATTTTATTTCATTCTTTATAAGGATTAAGCATTAAGTTAAATTAGAAGCATTCTCCAATCTAGAAAATACTTTAAGGATTACAGTTAAAATTAATTTTTTATGTAACATTGATTCTCTATAATTAGATAAATTATTGCTAGAATTATTGCCTCCGATAAGAGTTTCAACTGTGTAAGTTAGACATTGTACAACTAAACTAATCTACCTGAAGGCTTGTCTTTTACTTTATATTAAATCCTTTCAAACTTATTTATTCTCAATCATTACTAAGAGTATTCAGAAATTAAATCAACTTTTGAATAGGCTTCATTTTCTGTTTCTAATTTGGAAATGTTCATACTAAACTTTTGTGAATTGGATGAAAACTTAAATAAGTTAAAGTTAAAGACTCATTAATAGATTTAAGAATATTTTAAAATATAACCATCTAACTAAACGGACCATCCAAATAACCATACTTATTTCCATCCCTTATTATTTTTAAATCATTTATCAACTGCTCAATCAATTGGAGAGCAATTAAACTCATAGAAACAATAAGACTATTTTATTAAATTTGGAAATTCAATTGAATAGCTTAGAGATTTTGGTTAACTAAAAGGAGTGAATTTGGAATTGATGGAATTTTTTGCATTAGCTTAGAATATAAACCTAATTATTTCAGCAATACAACCATCTGTTAATTCAGCAACAGAAATCAAATTAATTGAAAGATTGATAACCATAAGTGCGCATTTGAAAAAAGAAACATCATAAATTTGTGAATCCTTAAAACAACTATAAATGAGCAAAGAACAAGATTAGTAAAGTATATAATTGATTTTGAATAAATATGGAAGTTCAAAACAAGTGTTGGAGGAAGAAGTAGAAGTATTATAAATAAAGTCTCTATAAAGTGTTAAAATGAATAAGATGAAAGCTAAATTTAAATAAAAAATTGAATCATTTTAACAAAATGATATTGCCGCAAATGATGATCAAAAATTTGTATAAACCTAATATGATACTTGTGCATTATGCAGATTAGATTTGGAAGATAATCAGAATTACTGTATTCCAATTCTAATTTAACCAAATCCCTATTCAAAATATTATTAAATTTATCCACCTGATTTAAAAGATGATATCATGAAGGATGATTTGAATTTATTGAAAATTTCAATCATTAGTTGTAAGCATAAATTTCATGATAAGTGTTTAATTGCTTCTTATTCATATTCGTAAAAATAAAAACTTGTACCATCATGGTTTCAACTATAATGTCCAGTTTGCAAATAATCTAGTGAAACGCGATTGTCAATCAACAAAAACAAAAGCGATGAACAATATGATGAATTTAATAATTGGTTATTATTGCAATCTTAGAATTTTGGAATAAAGAACTATCTTAAAGAAAAATATGGAGAATCTAATGAACATAAATTAAAAGAAATTTATCTCTCCTTATTAGTTGATCTCTTGCTTTAATTATTTATGGATTCATTAGAATTCATAAGACAAGATAAACATTTTGTATTTCTAAATATACTAGATTATTTATTTTAAATATGTAAAAAAATCACAATTACTCGTTTTAATTTCCAGAATTAATAGTCTATATTCTTAAATATACTGAACCTAATAACAGAATTATTAATATTGAATAACCAATAATAAAAATCTCTAACTCATTTTCTTGAGGACAATTAAGAATAAATAAAATCTTAAATCTTTTAATTTGATTTACCATTTTAAATTGCAAACCAATTACTAAAATGTTTTGCATTAAATATTGAAAAAGAATAAAATTAAATCATTTAAGTCAACCAATATGTTGAATAATTTAATAGAAATGTTATGATAAATATTGTGAAAAATTAGATTATTGAGAAATTAGGATACAAATTTAAATAATTTTATGATCATTATTTTAATGAGCCATGTTCATTTTGCAAAGGCTTTTCAAATGCACCTAAAAGTTCTGATCAATTTGTATGCCTACTCTGCTTTTAAAAGGTTTGTGATGTAGAATGCAAAGTAATAATTTATAATTATTAAAGAAATTGTTTTCTAAGAATGGAAATATGAATGTTCATGCATAACTCTTTCATTAAGGAAATACTATATTTGCAAGTCTCAAGACAGGCCAACTCGCATTGTTATCTTCACCATTAACTTGCTTTGGATACAAAAACTTGTATCAAAATAAATTTGGATAATTAATAAAACTCACAAATATGGAGACCCAATGGGAAGAATATTATATCAACAATAAAGTCTTAACTGACACAGCTGAAATAATGATTTCAAATTCACTGAAGTAAATAATAAAAAATCGCGAGTTAAATTATAACCAGTTGGATATAAGAGGATTCTTTTGAGTCATTCTCTTATAAATTATATTTTATTATATTAATGTAATTATTATTTATGTATTAATGTGCTATTCAATGTTAATTTTCTGATAATTCTTTTTTCAGTTTGACAACTTCTGTTTCAGGCAATTATCCCTTTTATAATTAGTCTAATAAGTTTGTGACTATGAACTTCAAATTTGATGATTCTTATATAGATTATTAATAATTTTCTTAATAGTCTTTAGACAATTGTATTATTGTCTTAGATTCATTTTAAATTGCGTTATTTTTCTAAATTAATTTGTCGCTTAATGTTTCTCCCTTTAATAATCCAATATTATAATGACCAGGTTTTATTAATAATATAATTTTCTACTTATATTTATTTCCATATTCCCTTTTGTTAAAATTTGAATCTTTGAAAAATATAAGTTGTACAAATCTAAAAATAAATAAATGTTGATAATTTACATATCCAAACCTTTAGCTAATTCTGAAATAACAAGTTCATTATTATTACACTCCATTTCCCATACTAATAAATTTATTTTGTCATCAATTGCATCCTTAACTTCACTGTTTTCAATAACATAATTTGAATAATTTCTAAAGAAGATAGTTGATAGTCCATATAAACAACTATCAACTTCATTTGAATTTTGTTCGTAGGCAGCAAATTGTTCAAGAAAAGACTCTTATCTTGCACAAATATCTTCAATTGACTTTAATCTAATTAATCTGAAAAGAAAATCTTATAACATTAATTTTTCGATTTCCTTATCATCAATCTTTAAATCTAATTACTCAGTAAAGATTTTCATCGGTAACTCAATTTTTTTAATCTTCTCAATAAATTAACAAAATTAATCAAAAGAATAATGGAATAGTAAAATTGATAAGAATTAAAATCCAAAAGCTGTGTAGAAACAATTACCATCTCCTCTGACTTCTCTAAATGCATTACAATAACTTGCTAATTGGTTGGCTGATTAAACTGTTAAATTATAATTCTTTTTTAGATCCGATTTCTCCTAAACTTGTCTTACATAGAGTTTATATTGATCTTGCACTAACCGTTATTTATTAGTTTATTCATAAATCTAAAAAATGGCATCTCTTACCTTTTTCTAATTTTCTTCGTTGTTTTAATAAAGGGCATAACTGTTGTTATGAAATGTTTGGAAGTCTTCTTTATATTTATCCTCATATTATTAAATGGAAATCTTAACATATAATAAAATATTTACTTTTATATTTTCTATTTAGTCATTCATTGATTTGCAATCTCTTAATTTATCAATAATCTTCAATTTTTCATTGATACTGATTATTTCTTTGGAAATTTTTTCATCAATATCCTATAAGTGAATTTCCTTTCCATCCTTTTTAGAACCTTTTGATTCGTTTTAATCAATCTTTTATTCATCATCCTAATTATTTATTAACCTATCATTTATAGATGTTGATATTCATACGGCTTATATTCGTCTGCAATTATATTTAGCACAGCATCACCTTACAGGTCTTTCTGCGCATTCAATTCTTTCTGACTATTTTTTTTAAAATAGGTATAAAGTTGCATTCCAAATGTTATTATCGCTAGCATAGTTGTTATGGGCAAAATTATTAGAGTAATTTCTTTTATAAATGCATAGAAGCTGACTATTAAAGAATCCATTATAAAATAATAATTGATTTCTATTACATTAAAGACTCAACTTTATTTTATTCCTATTATAATAAAGTGTACGTATGGGTATTTAGAATCAAATTGATTTCAAGAAATCTTAAAAAAGAAAAACATAAAACAGTTCAAAAATTACATTTACAAATTACTGCTATTTTTACTTCAAATTAACTACCGAAATCATATTAGATAATTTAACTATATTATTTATTAAATTAAAAAATGATAAGCTAGAAAATATAATTCTACTCTCTCAAAATACAAATATTGGTATATAATTCTTTTTAATTTTAATTCATTATTGTGAAATCCTTTGAAATTTAAGATCTAGATAGTTAATAGTGTACATTATTATTATTTTTAACAATATATTATTAATATCATTTTTGATTAGTTCATTTTAAAGATTTTTCTAGTTGTTTTTTCCATGCAATTTCAATATCTGCTCTGGCCATTTTTATTTAGCCAACTTCAAAAATGTTTTTGTAATCAGTTTCACCTTCTCTAAAACCTATTAATTATAAAATTTATCTTCCTTCCTCATATTAAAGTATATTAAGATTGACAGTTTTATTCGATTTTTGTATTGTTCTGAATTTTTCATCGCTAGAGTTTTCAACAATGTTAGTGATTAACTTTAAAAATAGGTTATGGGAGCTTTATAGTAATTATTAGGATTTAATCTTCTTTAACCAACTGTCATAAAGATTGATTATTTCTTATTCTCTGCTCAGTTGTATAATTTCCTATTATTACTTTTATCTATTGTTGTCTTGCTTTTGTAATTGTGAAGTTAATTATTCTGGTTTAATGTAAAGTTATCTTAACTAATCATTATATTTTTGAATGTCACCTGGATGAATTAGCAATCCTCTTGCCATATATTATTCAATAGTAAACCTAGCACTTTTCAATCCTTGCGGCTCTTTGCTTGAATAAATCAACACAACATTGCTGCCCATTGACTATAAATTCTACAAGTAAGGTATCAATTCCTTAACTAATTGATGGGTATTCAATGACCCAGAAGGTTATTATATTAGACTGTAGCAGCTGACTTTGTATAGATTTTCTTCTAATTTTTTAATTCCACTAAAGTTGACACATTGATAGAGAAATATGAGATTTCGGATTTGAAGATTTTTATTGTAGAGACTCATTTAATTCTTTTTCATCAGTATTTCAAAGGCATCTTCACTATGCAAATATATTCTGAAGGTATCATCTCCACGCTTTGTAGCATCTGAGACATCCTTGTAATCAAATATCAATAATGGATAATAACTATTCAAGATGTTGATCTCACTCAGCATCTAATATTGGTCCATGAAAGTATTAAGGGGTTTTGTTAAACTATAAACTTGTTTAACCTTCACATTAATTTCCTTGAAAACATTTAAGACCGACTCTATTTTCTCGCCGTAATCTCTGAATGCCCATAGGTTTTTGAAATCAAATAAAAATTTGTATTATTTTTTATCTTCAATTATTTTTTCAGGTCTGCTAACATCTATCGGAGTGAATCCGTATTCAAAAAAATTAGTTTTGGCTTTTTCAGAGAACAAGAAAACTCCCTGATAATCAAAATCTTTTTACACTTACTTCTGCTGATTTACGCCTAATCTAACAATAAAATTATAAGCCATCGATTCAGTTACTTCTATGATTTGAATCTATTCAAACAATTTTATAACACAAGGAAATCCCATGCTTAACTTTGGTTTTGGCATCGGATATTACTCCTACAATACCTAGCTTGCATTTTATGAGATGTCAAGCATTTTAGGCTAATGAACATCTGACAATTTTTTTGTTTAACACATTCCCATAATAGTTTAATTAATAATAATATTAAATGCTCATTCTGGAAATAATTATATTTAAAATTGTCATAAAGATAAAACCTAATGATCACATCATGGCAAATCGCTAATTCATTTTGATTAAGAATTTTATATTAAAAAAATAAATTGAAAAATTTAACCATTATAATAATCAATTTATTTTGTTTAAAATAAGAAATAAATATAAAGATTGGTTTTCATTAATTCAAAGATATTAATTTAATAGAGGCTGATTTTTGAAACATTTTAGTTTTTCTCTGTTTCTTATAAAAATTATACATGCTTTAAACCTAAGAATGTTCGGTCTTGCATATTCTATTTTAAGAGTATAAGTCGGTATTCTACCTCACAATGAATTATTAGATAGGTCTCTTCATGAACATATCAAAACTGCCCATAGATGAATGTTTTTACTTCATCTAACAGGGCGGTTCTCTTGATGTCATACTTTCATTGACTGTATTCGCCTTTTCTATTTGTAATAGTTGAGGTAATCTATCGATTATATTCCTACTGCGAAATATGGAAATGCGAGGTCTTGAGAGTCTCTGCATTTTTCTTCTTTGTGGGTTGTATCGAAAGTATGTGAGTAGAAGACATACAGCCAAAACTAATATCCTAAATCTTTTTCTTATGAGGCGTCTATGCATTTTTATTTCGATGGTTCCTCGAGACATCAGACGTTTGAATTTGAAGCCTGCATTTCCAAATATGGAACCCTCTGTACTCTTAGCTCTTTATTGAGATTCAATATCCTATTGCTTTTATTCAACACATGATCGATTCAACTAATTCTTAAAGAGAGAACGCGTATAATGCTTACGATTGGGCTTAGAATTCAGAAGGGATTTCAGCAAGGGATCAAAATGAACTATTTTTTCGATTTATAAGCGAATGGCTTGCATTTTTAAATCATTCATATATTCTTCGCGATTCCTCACTGCGATCGGTAGAATATTAAGAGTAAATATCCCATTTCGTTTTAGTGTTACTTTCCTCTTCATGCACGCAGCAAAATATTTGTTTATTATTTTAATTCTAATATTGAAAAGAAATCTTGATTAATTATTCCCAATTAAGCAATAACCAAATTAATACTTTAACAATATAATATTTCTGTACTATTAATTATCGTTTGTGAATGCATATTTACAGAACTAGTTGAATTAGTAAAAGTCATTTAAATTGAAACAGCATATAACCTCAGTGTCAGCTTCCCTTGCCTAGAATAATTAAGATTTCCAGAAAATTAAAAATATTTAATGCAAATTATACTTAGTAGTAATTAGACATTTAAACTATCATGAATCATATGGAATAGGAAAATTTTATCTATAAAAATTGAAATAACCTTTAATTCTTGAACTATGGACCCATTAATTCAAGGCATAAGGTGTTAATTCTTGTTAATTATATATAAACCTGTTAAAATAAATCAGAAATAAAGATTAAATATATAAATAATATTATGGATGAGCATCTTGGGATGGAAGCAGAAAAACTTCGTATATCAGGTTACTAGATTTCTCTATATCTCATAGATAATATGGAAAATGAAGTCATGGGGGATCTGGAGAAATATTTTTAATCTTCTCATGCAAATAGGAAGGAGCAGCAGTTGCCTGTGATCCGAGTTTTCGAGGATTCATGCTCGGATTTACCTCAATCAGACCAACCCTTCGAAAATCCAGGGGAATCAATTTTCGATGATTTGGGTCTTGAAAAACTCTAAATTTAATCTGTTCACAGTGATGGAAGGGCAACCTCTTGGAGTCACACTGATGACAACAATTCTTTGAATAAGCAATATTTGAAAAGACCCAGAACTAGACAACAATTAAGCAGCAAAATTGTGGAGAGCAATCAGGATCTGTTTAATGTACACTATGCTAAGAGTCTATACACGAGCAAAATCAGTTAATTGGTTGATAAAAAGATTACAACAAATCCAAAATCAAATCGAATTTCGTAATTTCGTATACATTAATATTATAGGAAAAGTCAATAGAAGATAAAACGAAAGTCATCGCATTAGCTAATTGAAACTTCGGATCAATCTGAATAGAAAAGTTCACTCCAATCAGGAGGGGAGATGTCAGAGGACAGATTAGCGAAAAATAGAGTTGCGGCTCGAAATTCAAGAGCAAGAAAGAGGTTGTATTTTGAGCTGTTGGAAAACAAAGTGAAGGATTTGCAAGACGAAATTGATAGGTTGAATGAGTTATGTTAGAATTAGGCCAAACAAATATAAAAATATAGAGAATGTTAGGAAAAAGTAGGAATATTTAAAAATTATTAAAGTATTAGTTCTCCTTTGAGACCCAGAAAAAATTGATTGAACAATTGGAGGTTTGTTAAATCAAGGATTAAGATTTAGATTCAACCAAATTTGTTTTAGAATAAATGCAGGAGTGCTAATTAAATTCTGATAAGAATATGGTTGGGAACCAATACATAGAAAATCTATTGGAGATTCTGTTACCCATAGAATTAAAATACATTGTCTACAGTTATGATCAAAATAAGGATTTGATATCCGATTTTTAGGGGTATTTAGATTTCAGTATATATTTAGTTCGTTTTTGGAATGGACCAAAGAGACATTTTAGCTAATGGACATAAAACAGGAGTAATTTAGAAAGATTAGGAAACACAAGGAGAAGTTAAATTGTGTCAAAAAAACCATAACAAGGTAGTAATGTCTTTTTTATTGTTAATTTTAGTTGCATAAATAATTTGTACACTTCAGTGAAGATGATAATTGGTGAGGCTTAAAAGGTCGATTCTATTTGGAAGTCCATTTATGAGACATTGGAACCATTGTAATTGAGATCTTTGTTTTTGACTATTTATCAAGTATAAGTGAGCATAGATTAATTTTAGAATTAACATAGATCTGTTTTCGATTGTAGTAATCTATTTAGTGATTGTAAATATTTCAAACAAAATCCATAGGTATTAAATTTACATATATTTTAGAGTTAAACTGATTCAAACTGTTAACGGCCTGCAAATCTAAGATAATATGTGAAAAAAAATAATTGATTAATGATATATATATATATTTTTAAACTAATAATTTATGTGTGATCCTATAATTAGTGAGCAATATTACTTCAATGAGTAATTCGACTTATTTATTTTCACTTTAGTTCTTGTGATGTGAATGCTAATCAAATTGATTTTTCAGGGGTTTCAGATCCATTTTTGAAAAACTCACAACAATAACAATAACAATTCCCTAAAATTCAAATTTTTGAGGATGCTGACAACGAGACCAATAATTTTGGAGCCAACGAAATTTTGAATGAAGAAATCAAAATGGATAGGCTTAAGATTATTAATGATAGCTCTGTTGAAGCCTAACCAAAAAGTGGGAGTGAGGGTGATTATTCGAGAGAAGCAAGTCAGAATCAAAGCAGCAGGAGGGGATCAAGTATTTTTAACTTGCAAATATAGAAAAATGTACAAAAGAAGAATAAAAGAATTTAAAAGATTCTTTGTAATCCTAGATTCTTTTGAACCTGCGATACACTAAGAGCACATACACAAATAAAATTCAGAATCTGGTTAAGAAGGAGAATAAGGACCAGTTGATAGTAACAACAAAAGCCAGGCAATCGTATTGAAATATTTTGATTCATTTTTAGACGCAGCTAATAGAAGTTGGTAAGAAAAAATGAATAGTAATTGTTAATGAACCTCGAACACACTGATTAGTCATCATCTGAAAACCCCGATTCGCTTAATGACCGAACTATGGATCCTAGTCGTCTCAAGTAAGTGAGGAACAGAGAATCCGCTAGAAATTCAAGAGCCAGGAAAAAGATATACTTCGAATTACTGGAGACCAGAGTCCAAGAGTTACAGGATGAAAATGACAAATTAAGGGAGCAATGCAACATCTTATCAAAATCAATTGAAAATTACAATAAATAGCAGGATAAAGTAAGTGCTCGTATAAATATGTAATTAGTTTTCACAGTTCTTGGAGTAGCAATAATAATTGTTTGGGAGATTGGAGGATTGCATTAATTAAGGGAGAGATGTAACGGAGATTGAGATATTGTTGGATGCACTCAAATACAGGACATCGTCAAATAAATAGGAGAGAATCGATGCTGCAAAATCATACTTGTATTCAATATTGAATGTTTGTTTGCCATTACAGACAAAATATTTGTTCAGTATTTTGGACGACAAAGATTTCTTTTCCTAAAATTCTAGGTACATTTAAATCTATGGAAGGAATTACACAGACTATTTGAAAGATGTTTTTAAGAAAATTGATACAAAAAGTGATGACTTTGGGAACAATGAAAAAATAAAACAAAAGTTAGGAGCAGCCAAACAGAATATGTATGAGTAATGAATTTGATCTAATTATGAACGCAGCTCATTTAAGAAGATAAGGAAGGAGATCAAATTGATATAGAGTGAAGCAGGAAAGGTTGATTTGCTGTGGGAATAACTGAAGGAGAAACTGTAACCTTAAGTCTTGGCCTAATGTTTGTTGGCTTTGCATAAGGTATGAGTGTTAGTGAATGTGTAGAATGAATTTAGAGCAGAGTTCTAAGCATTGACTATATTCAAGAGACCGAAGGACTCAACAGAGTAGGTAGGGATGTTAATTGAATAATAATCGTTGCAAAGAAAATAAGTCAAAAAATGTTATTGATTTTAATCTGTTAATATTAATCATTCAAATGTTTTATTTTGGAAACTGAAAATCCTAACTTTGCTTTATTATTACGAAGTTTTAGACAGATCAGAGCTGATTCTTAAAGAACTTTATTTTTTGGACAGACTAGATTGGCTGTTGCACAATAATGGATGATTGAGTGTAGGAGTTTGATCCATTAATGAGCATTCCATTTAATTAGTGATGTTCTCCATTGAGACAATATTTAGTTAAGCAATTTGTTGGAGAAACAGATTGATAGCAAAATCTAATTGAGTTTTTTTTTCCAAAGTTGTTTCAATTAAGAGCATCGTTTTCTGCATTCCTATTTAAGTGATAATAGTATTAAGTAAATTCTAGAAATTTTAGATTTGTTATTCTTCAAGATTAGGCTAATCTGCTAACAATTTTCTTAAATAGCAGTTCTTGAGTTGTTCATTTAGCAGTCCCTAATGTTGATATATAAAGTACTTCATCATATACAAAACCGATGTAGACGATTTAGCATAAAGGGAGACCACCAACATTGATTTTCTAGATTTCAATTTATCTGAAGATATGATTATTGATATGTGAAAAGGGACTCAGAAAAGCACATAAATCATCAGTCTAAATTTGCGATGGTAGAACGATGACGATATTTTCTGACAGATCCAAGGCTTTTTATAAGTAATTCTTGAGATTTTAATCTAGATGGTAGGAGTTGAGAAATTGATATTATATTATGATTGCATCTGCCTATTCTTGTCTTTCCAAAAAGGAAGTCAAATATATGTTCTACACTTGTGTTGAGCAATAGTGAAATTATTAAATATTATATTTGGCATTGTCATTTTGATCAATTGAGTAGGAATCCACTTAGGTTGCATTTGATTAAGCAATTTCAATGGATAGGGTTCCAGGCCCGGTTATTGCATCTACAATTATGTTTTTAGTGAATTTCGTTATTCGTTTAGCCAAATATTATGTAACACAAAATGGGAGAACCGATATCGATTATTCATGGGTTATTATTAATTCGTGCATGTAGGGGAAAATGTAAGGCATCATTTCTTTCAATTGTGCAGGATTGAGTGATGATCTGTCAACAAATAAAGGATGCACATCTTTGGAAGTGCTTTTTAATTTTTCGCCTGACTTTTTGAGGAGGAAATTTTGTAATGTAACCTTGGCTGTACATAAAGATCTTGGGAAGCCGTGGAAAGCAAAGGGCGAATGATATTTGTCATTTGTGATGAGAGGTTGGGTTTATTATTTTTATTTTTTACCAAAGCAACAATTAATTTTCTGGAGAAAGTTTTAACAACACGATACCTTGGCCTATTTATTTTTGTTATTATTGTTCATGAATTAATTTAAATATATATTTCATTATTTAGTTACTTTTTGCTTGATTTTATTTTTGAGTATGGATGGTGAAGACTATTTGGCTAGTGGAGAGGGTGATTTGTAGGATTGATGTCGTTTCGAGGATCTATCAAAAATCCACACTTGATTTTGTAAACTGAATCTAAGGGTCTTCATGGGTTTGCCCTTACTCTCTTCAGTGTTCAAGATTTATCCGAGATCATCTTTGTCAGATTCAGGGACTGGAGTATCTGAATCATCCCCATCAGTTTTAACGAGTTTCTCACTCATTTATTGTTGTGCCTATCCAATACAGCTCATGGGAGCTATTATATTTAGATATTTATTTGATTTATAATAAATGTGTGCAATTTACTACTGGATAAGAAATTATGATAACTAATCATGGTTGTGTATATTGATGTATTTTCAAATATATCATTTCATTTCTCTGCTTTTGCGAAATGTTTTTGGCATGAAATTAGTAAACAGAAACTGTAAATCAGGTACGGAATCAAGGGACAAGCGTTACTCTCCTCAGTGGCACAAGCATAAGTGTCTCCAGAAACATACATCAAATAGTGATGATCCTTTCTATTATCCTGAACTACAAACTCAATTGAATCTCATACTTTCATTGTACACCCTTGAGTTTTCCAGAGTCGTGCCCTTGATCAGTCCAGTATATTGAATCAGGAATGTGGCAATGCAAGCCCCGATCATCATGGCCACACTTCCAGCATGTCCCAGAATCGATCCAAACATCAATATCATTATTGTGACGAACAAAACATTATATGCAACATACAACATACTGTGAGTGTACTTGAACTTAGTGAATTCAATAATTCTTATATCTTTCAAATAATTGAGTTTTCCTTCTGCCTCCTCAGATGGTTAGAAAATAAACTATTTATAAATTTATCAATTACATAGCTTTTTGCAACATTAATAATTCCCCAAATGTTGATGCCTCTACACACAAACATTATACTGAAACCTATGAACAATCCCAAAAATCCTTCATTCTTTACAAACAATGAATTCAAGGCAGTTGGATATTAATAGAGTTGAGCACCAATAATTCCAATGCATACAAGGAATGCTGTACCTGCATTAGTGGCTTTAAGGAAAACCATGTAATTCTTGGCCTCCCAATAGATCTAAAAGATTTTGCCCTACACATCTGATATGAAGTGAGCAAAACATGTTAATTTATAAGAATCGGAGGAATTGCAACCAATGAAGAATATGACTCCGTAGATGATAAATAAAGAGATGTAACCAGAAGCTGCAAATAGCATTCCAGCAAATCCTTCTATTGAATAGACTATTGATATCAATAGGAACATCAAGACAGTTGGAATAGCAGAAAATAAATCTCCCAAATAATTTGAGTAGATCAAATTCATTGGCAATATACGATCACTTGTTGCTAATCCCTATTTGATCATAATAATTTACCATATTTCTGACATTAGGGCAGCCATGAGATGTATACCATTCAAACAAACTGATATGAAGGACATTAAATATCAATCCTAACAAATAACACCAACACGCATGCATATTTGATTTACCTTCAAAATCAATATCCTTTGTGTTTTCCCCTTTGAGTGTAAACTCATCGATAAGAAATGAAAAAGGGAATGAAACATGAATTATGAATGAAATCAAAGCAGCTATAATGACTTACCATCTCACATTGAGTGCAGCAAATGACCCAGTCTCCTGGTCTGCACACATTGTTTTTAAAAAATAACATACAATGGATCCCAAATATCCAATACAGACCAAATAGATTGGTCCCAAAATAAAAGCACTTCTGTTTTTGCTATCCAATACTTCAGGACTATTGATTACGATTTATGAAACAGCACAACACAAGAAAACCAGGACAAACCCTGTGTCTAAGAAGTTCACAATTGCATTTCCTGCTTATTAAGATACCATGTATGCTAATCTAGTCAATTGTGAGATATTGTTGTTGCCAACACTCAAATTTAAGTCAGCTCTTATCAAACCGAATGAAGCAGTCTTCATTGATCTGCACATCATAGATATACCTTCTCTATAAATGAATCCTCCCAGTATCATTCCCATCAAGAATCCAATCATCAATATTGATACCTTCTCATATTCTTCTTTCTTCATGTCTCCACCCCAAACAGCCACATTGAAGTAATACATTAGGACGTACATGCCAAATAGTAAACTAAACAATAGACTCACTATTGCAAACCCGCTTTAGTACATGTACCCGAAGCTCTCCTCCTTCGAAAATTGTGACTTTATATTTGCTACATATTTATACTTATATCAAAGCTCTTGTCAACGATTTACTATTTGTCGAAGTCACATAATATGCAAATAACATCACAGTCATAGCGCCTAAAATTGCATTGAACATAAATGAGAATGGATAGTCGATAAACCAAATATCCACAACCAAAAAAAATAGAAATAAGAGTAGAATCATATATAAAAATTGTGCAAGCCACAATCCACCTATTGATGTTTCTATTAAATCCACAATTCCTGATAAATATTATGGTTCTACTGTTGGCCTGTAAGAACTAGGCTAAATATCATCCACTCCTAAGAGTCCTCTAAGTTGATCACTCACAAAGTCTTATTCATCTTTATATTGCACTGTAAATCCCTATTAATAATGCTATCATTTCTTACTTATGCTATCAAATGCACAAAGTACCAAACTATCCCCACTATACAGATTAAAATTATCACTACTAGCGATCCTAACCAACCCATTAATAAAAACGAATAAAAATTAATTTATTATATATCAATACCAGCAAACCTTTGCAAACTCAAAATACGCTCTATTTACTGAATTATTTAACACCAACCATCCTAAAAAAGAACCAGCACAATAAAATATAAGGGAGATTCATTCAAATCTTATTCCCCCACCAAAATAAATTCACTTAGCCTATTTAAAAAAAATAAAACAATAGGTCTATGAACCAATCCAGATGTCCTGATAGAAGAATTATCCATCTCAATCTTAATTCGATAAACAATAATTTTGAAAAATATTGGTTATTTAAAAATGAATAAAAACTATCCTAGCAAATTTGAGACTATAGGGTCATTAACTCTAATTAGTAATTACGAATTGATCTCAAATATCATTCAGGATCTTCAAACAATAAGTAATTAAAATTAAAATGATTTATGAGAATGTAATATTTATGATTTTGAACAATGTTTTAATCAAAATATCCTTAAAATTATTGAATAGCTAATTATACAATTTGCAGTCAATCAAAAGATATCATAATAATATCTTAAATGCTACATTTAAAAGGGTATCAAGCCAATAAATTATTTAATTAATCCCTAAAATCAGAATAAATTACAATTAGTAATTTGAGATCGCACTCCAAGTTTTTTACATTGTGATATTCTGTTTAACTAATCGATGTTTTGAAAAACCAATCACTTTTGGTCTTCTATTCTATGAACAAGGTAGAATAATGAGATGTTCTCTAAATTAGAATGTTCCTTTTAAAACTAATAATAAATTTCAATTATGCGAGAATTTAAAATAAAAAGCTAACTATATTAGAGAAGTTTCATTTTCAATTGAAAATATTAAGGAATAAAATATTCAATCTAAATCTCTCAGATGAAATTAATATATAAGATAGACATAAAAAGTATTTAGTTCCCTTTACAAACAATTTAGGATTGCCTCCAATCATAGGGTTTAATTACAAAGTTTTGAGTAATTGGTTTGAGAATCAGACTGAGATCTACTGGTTGTCGTTTCTTTTATAATTGAGTATATTTATGATATATTTGTGTAAAATTTTAACGGAAAAAAAACATTATTAAATTCTGTTTGTAAAATGAATTACCATTATCCTGCCTATCCAACTGCTCAAGCTTCTAATAACTTTATAAACTGTGTTCTTGATTTTGATAGTAAACTCTACATCGGAGATGCTCAAGCCTTTTAAAATTATCAGAATTATGATGTCAAAGCCATAATATCTTTCTCCACAGAACAAAGTAAACATTCTACTAACTAATTAACTAGATTTCTAAGCTAATTCGGATGCCGATCAAATGGTTTTGCAAGTAAACGACCGTCCTTAGTGTGATATCTCTGGATATTTCGATAAAACCAATAAATTTATCAACAAACATATGGATGACAATCACAACGTACTTGTTCACTGTATGGCAGGGAAATCGAGATCTGCCACTATTGTGTTGGCCTATCTGATGTTCTCTCAAGATTGGACCTTGTAGGAGGCATTGATATACTTAAAAAGTGTAAGACCCTTGGTCTGTCCCAATCCCGGATTCATTAGATAGTTGTTGAAATACGAAGAGAAACTGTTCGGTAAGGTCAAAAGCAATTTAACTCACGAGATTACGCCATATTACAATGTATAAAAGGCAGACACAATAATACCAGAAGGGCCAGCGGTGGGAAGAAATTACATGAGTGATTAGAATGCTTATAGCAGGAGATCCTCGTTTGTTTCACCCCCATCCCAACTGATGGGACACTAGAGGTCGTATTAGCAATTCCAATATGGATGGAGATATTATTGAATGAATTCTTTATTAATATTATTTGTTTGCTTAATACTTAAATGAAAAACACTTTTATATAGTTAACGAAGTTGTTATTAATTTTAATAATTTGTAAATAACTCAAATGGTAAACTCTACAATATTAAGCAACACGAAACAAATACGAGGATTTAGCTTCTAATTGAAGAAACCAAAAGCATAGAAATCAATTTCCATAGCATCTTAAAGAATAAGAAGAGGCTTTTCTTTTGTAGTTGAATAATGGAAAATTAGTAAATTTTAATCACAGCTTTTTTCGCAAAACGAGTCTCTTATTCAATCGTCCATCTCAATGGCAAGTTAGGATATTTCAATTATGAACTCAGAATTTAGCATAGCCAAGAAGATTCGTGGTTTCAGTTTTGTTAGGAACAAGAAGCAATTATGAATATGACTAGCATATTATAATCAACTTTTATATTTTTTATCTCATCCTTAATCATTGAAATAAAGTACACTGCTTAATCCAACAAATACGAATGGTTCTATTAAACAACAAAAATTTCCTTATCCTAATCAGACATGCAACAAAAATTCTATGAGTGATTCAATCGATTATACTAAATCTTAAGATGAACACATCATTGAATCCTCAGTTTCTTTGATAAACAAGACCCATTGGACAAGGAAAAATTACATTGGTAGATTGGAAACAAGATTTTACATACCATTTGAAATAAAATAATTTAGCAAAGCCTAATTCGATCAATGTCAAAAAGAATACCTGGAAGACAGGAAATTTAGATAACAGTATAAATTCGATTTAAATCTAAAATTCTAATAGGAATGAAGCTTTAATATAAAATTATTCTTGATACTTGCCATTGAATAATATATTCATCCAAGGTAAAAGGATAGTTTCTAAATTAGTTCTCTCTATAGTAAGTGGAACTTCTAATTATTTTCGATTAATAAGTAATTTATTGGAAATCATATCACACAAACGAGAATCTAGGGAACTGGAACTTGAAACAGAAAGTTAATTTATGAGTTATAGTATTCTGAAGAATGAGTTTTAGTTTTAGTGTTAAGATAATATGGGATGGGATGCGAAGTCAGTAGTAGAAGATATATTTTTAAGAATTTGGCAATAAAATAATTGATTTTATTAATAAAATAAATATATTTATAAGATGGAGGATGTAACAATTTAAAATTCTCTAGGAATTAATTAGGTAATTAAAGAAACCCTTTGAAAAAAGAAGTGAGGATGATTTATATCCAATAGAGAGGATGGTTAGGAAGATCGAGTTCTTTTAAAAATATTTTGCAGATCAAAGAGATCTAAATTTTAGTTATTACTTCGAACATGAATACGCAACTTAAAATACATCCATTATCAACATAGATTCAGTCGGAGACAAATTCTACATAATTCTTCAAGGACAGGTGGGCATATATTTTAAGCCTAACTTTATGGAGGACAAGGTGTCATCCACCAAATTATTGGAGAAGGTGAAAATGAGATTTAGACAAGCAGTTAACAATAACAAATTTAAGGATTACTAGATAAATAAGATATCGTCTCAACAGTCAGATTTGGCTTTATTAAAAATCTTGTTACCAGGGCAGTCGTTTGGTGAAACCGCTTTAGTCCACAATAGACCCAGAGATTTCAAAGCAGTGGCATTACAACCATGTCATTTTGCTGTTTTAAGAAGATAATACTTTAAGGAGGTGGTGAGGATTGGCTAGGAGAAGTCTTCTATGAAGGAGATGGGGTTTTTTGCAAATTTGGAGATTTTTGAGGGATGGAATGTGAATTCAATCTACTAGGTTTACAAGGTGTTGGAATAGAGGAGTTATAGGATGGGAGATGTAGTGTATGCATCAGGGGAGAATGCAAATGCGATTTACTTGATAAAGGAAGGAGCTGTGGATGTATGCAATGATATCATTTAAGTTGTCACAAGTATTTGTTGAGGAGAAGGAGGAATAGGAGATGAGGACGGCTTCTCCATTCATGAAGTAGAGAGGGAAGAGTTTGTAGAGGAAGATTGCAACGTTGAGTAAACACCAATTCTTGGGGTTAGAAGATGTGCACAGTTAAGAGCAGAAGCACAGATTCACTTGTGTTAGTTCTAGTTCGGATACGCTTCTAATTATTATACCAGTGGAATTGTATATGAAGAAAATCTACAGTCAGCCTACGAGTCAATCGTATGTGTAGGAGTTTATACAAGTTTAATGCAGGTACCAAGATCAAAGAGTATTTTTATTGATATTTATCAATAGAATTCTTAATTGCAAATAGCAATCAATTCCCAAAGACAACAATAGCAACAGATCTTAGCGAGAATCAATTAGTAATAAAATGCCGATATGCTGGAGTTTTTTTTTAATTTGGAAGGGAGATTTAAGACACTCACACAAGAATCAATGAAGAAGTTGCCAAGAAGTCAAATTGGAGAGAGATCGCAAAATTTCAGTGCTCATGAACAGTATGTAGACAGAAGTTGTTTTACGAGAGCCAAGGACAGATCTTTATAGGGGAAGGTGCAGACGCAGAGTTTATACTAAAATTAAGCATATAAATAAGTGATTCATGAATCAAGGGTAATCGAGAAGAATTTGCCAAATCTGACTTCGTTTATTGATAAAAATTCGTCTGGCTTGCATCACTCGAAATCAACTTAAGTTAAGTACAGGAGGAGGAGTCCGTAGAAACAATCGCAATTACAATTTCAGAATGTTTAGACAACGTTGAATGAAGAGGAATAATAATTAATATCTAATATTCTTTCGAAGAGAGCAATATAACCTAGAAAACCTACTTCTGTGAAAAGAGTGAAATCAACTGAGGATTACACACACAGAAGGACTTTAAAATTCCAGGATTAAGCAAAGATCTGAGCAGAACTGGCGACGGATTAATTAACTGATATAATTAGTAATTAATAAAATCCTATTGTGTATAATAAAAGCTAGTTATATATTCCCTGATATTTCTTGATCCTTGGGGTCAGTTTCTGTTTAGGACATCGAAAGTCAATGGGCGAGTTGAAAAATGTTGAGCAATATTAGGGTTCAAATAAGGGGAAGGAGAGAAAAACAAAGATATGGAATTCAGTACAAATTAGTTGAATAATAAAATTTGTTAGTTTGTATTGGGGGAAGGGCTTTAAATAAACAGAAGATGGAACCAAAGATTGGTAGGTGAGTAGTTTAGGTGGATGAAATTCTGTATTTATTTGTGAGAATCAATAATAGAGGGGGGTGAATTCTTTGGTATATATAGGATGTGAATTAAAGATTTTAGTTATTAATAATTATATTGTATAAAAACATGAAAGTTGAGACATTTTTATACATTCTGCTAATTTTGGGGTATTTCGGAGTAAGTGGTTAAGCAAATTAACCCGCAGGAGTACAATCAACACCACAAACCGACAGTCAACCTGCATATCTTTGTTCGACAGGTAATAATGAAGAATATACAATAGGCTATTTTTTCAATGATTAGATCTGTATGTCTTGCATGATAGTTGCAGGAGGATTATGCACATGTAAAACATATAATGGCTGTGATACTCTTACTTGCAATGATGGTTATTACTAAGTTGGATAGTATATTTAAATATCATATAATATAGATCTTGCATCACAATTCCTGACAGCAATTGTGCCAAAGGTGGTTTATCAGCCGATGGAACGAGCATAGTGTGTTACTCATGTAAAGCTGGTACTTCGACAACATTGATTGGTATATTTAATAATTATATAATAGGTGGAATATGTGTTTCGAATAATAATTGTTAAACCTTCGATGTGAATACTGGTATTTGTACAAAATGTACTGATGGATTCTACAATGTAATGGCTGAATACACTCCCAGTGAATATTTTGATACAACAGCATCCACTTGGACTTCAACTAATTATCCTTTATACTTCCAAAACATCAATTAATGTAAATCTTGCAATGCAGCCGCCTCATGCAAAACTTGTAATTTCCTGTAATTATATTCATGATTAATTACTTTAGTACTTAATGCACAGAATGTATTGATAGTTACTATTTGACTGGAATTACATGTACACCATGTATTTCAGGATGTTAAAAATGTAGTGATACTACATCTTGTTCTGTGTGCTTGACATCATACTAATTGACAAATACAAACACCTGTTAGTAATGTAATGGATCCTAATATTGGGATACACAAAACAAAAATTGTGTTGATTGTACAACAATAGATCCCAATTGCACAGCATGTACTTCTAATGCATGCACAACTTGTGGTGCTGGTAACTACGCTGTTAATGGGGTATGTAAAACATGTACAGGATATCCATCAACATGTTCTGCTTGTGATGCAAATAGCAATTGTACCAGTTGTTCTTCGGTCTCACCTATTTCCATCTTACAAAATGGTGCATGTAAATCATGTCCCACTAATTGCTAATCTACATCAAATTGCTCATACAATACATAAAATAACACTACAGTTTGTTCCTTATGTCAAGATCTTTATTACGTAACCTCATCAGGACAATGTGCTAGGTGTGATTCAGCCGGAGAAAGCAATGGTTTAAGATGTCATTATGATGCAACTGTTGCCGGTAACATAGTCTACACCTAATGCAAACCCCCTTATTTCTTGGCTAATAACAAATGTACATAAGCCTAATCTACTAACACTTGTGCCAAATTACAAGTACCAACAGATTAAACTGCAATCAATAATCAAAATTGTGCTGAATGCTGGCCTGGATATATTTAAAGTGGTGCTACTTGTTTCTAATGTACCAATTGTCAATCTGGAAGTTGTTCCTTAAATACAAGTAATTAACCATCATGCACTCTATGCGTTGACGGATACTATTCTGATTCCAATCAAAAATGTCAATCCTGTATTTCCAATTGTACTTCTTGCAGTGGACCTGCTATTGGAGATTGCACAAATTGCTAAGCTGGTTATTTCAAGGGAACTAATTCATGCTCCGCTTGTACAGTTGACAGTAACAATCACGCAACTTGTTTGGTTTGTTAAGATGCTACCAACTGTTCCAGTTGCATAAATGGATACTATGTTTCAAATGGATTATGTTTGGCCTGCTAATACGGATGCAGCTAATGTACTAGCCCAGGAAATGTATGCACATCATGTATCAGCGGATACTATTTGTAAAATGGAGGTTGTGTTTAAGATAATGGAAATTGTTATTCCACTGATAAGGTCAATGTACTCACTACAATTTAAGCTAATTAAACCAATGGTTGTTAGATATGTAATTATGGTTTCTACTTGACCAGTGGATGGTTAACTTAATCAACATCATCATAGATTCAAGATTTCGTTTGCATGTAATGTGTTTATCCTTAAACTGCTGTATTTTTATTTGTTTTATCCTTTTTAGTTTGTTTGCAGAACTAACCCATAAGATGTTTCTGTCCAATCTGTCTAATCCACAGTGACCACTCTACCATCCAGCAGTCAATACTTTACCAAGGGTTCTGTTGTTACCACTATTTCCAATTTCGGCTTATTAGATACTAGATATACCTAGGCCACATGTGCTCCTGGATACTTCTGGACCAATCAAAGTTGCATGCCTTGCATGTCCATCACTAATGGTACATGTACACAATGTACTAATCTCACTGCTTGTTAATAAATTACATGCTCTGCTAACTACTTCTTAACCACTATCAATAACAACTAATTGTGTGCTCCCATACCAGCTGGATGCAGTGAACTGACTTATTCAACTACACTTCTTGCCTTAGCATGCACAAAATGCAATACTGGATATACTCTTGTTGGTTCTTCCATCTGTGTTTCAAATACAGGTTGTCAAACAGTCAATCCAAGCACTGGAATATGTACTCAATGTTCAGATGGTTTCTATTTCAATTGGGATTTCGTCCTGAATGCATAATAAAATGCTCCAACTACCAACACCAAATATTACTCCACATTCAACTAATTCTGTTCACCATGTTAAGCAGGATGCTAGACTTGCCCATCCCAATACACATGTACTTTATGCTTACCAGGATATTTCTGGTACTAATCAACAGTGACAACCAACACAGGTGCATTTATTAAGTACAGTTCCAGCTTGACATCAAATATGTCAGGATAATGTGTTGCATGTCCTAAATATTGTTAGACTTGTACATCAGCCACTACTTGCAGTACATGCTATACTAATTTCTAACCTGATCCTAACTCAACTGTCGGTGCTTGTATGTGTCCATCAGGATATAATTTAATAACTTCTGGTACATCAGTAACATGTATCTAATAAACACAAACTACTGCAACTTGTAATATAACTGCTTGTTCTCAATGCAATGCCGATAACACTCAATGTTTGGCTTGCTTAGCACAATACCAAGGAAAGTCCTACACTTTATTGGGATCAACTTGTGTGACCTGTTCATAAAATTGCAGTCAATGCACATTAATGACTGGCAGCACAAGTCAAACTACCTGCCAAGTTTGCTAGAATGGATACTATAAGACACAAAGCGCCAATGATCAACCAGTCCTCTGTTCTATTTGCTCATAAACTGGAGCTCTCTTATGTCAAGGTCCTTTGGAAAATGCCACTTTCACATAAGTCACAGTTATCTAATGTCAAAATAACTATTATTTATATAATGGAGCATGTGTCCCAGTACCCACTACTGCTACTTGCTATACAATCTCAGCTGCAAATGGCAGCAATTGTCAATAATGTCTCCCTGGATATACATTATTTGGAAGCACTTGTTAAACTTGTGCCACAAGCAAGAATTAGAACTGTTTAACATGCACTGCAAATGCAGATAACACTGGATTGTAATGCACTTCCTGCTAAAATGGATATGTGATAGATTCTGCTAACAACGCTTGTGTTGCATGCGCAAGTGGATGCACCAAATGTACTTTGATTGCAGCCACCCAAAACACTGCATAGAGTACCTCATGCAGCACTTGTAACGATGGAAATTACTTGGACAACACCACTGGAAGATGCTTTGCTTGCCCATATGATTGCAAGACCTGCGATACTAAATATGTAATTATTCTATATATTCTTAGACATGCACAACATGCAAGGATGGATTTTACTTAAAATAATCACAAACTACATTCAATGGAAAATAATAAACCTTCAAACCATGTTACCCATGTTAATCTAATTGTGCAACATGCTCAGCCAACGGAAATGTCTGTTTGACATGCTCAAGTGGATATATTTTGTAAAATGGTGGATGTGTCAACTTGTAATAAACAATCGTCAATGACGCCAACAAGTACAATTACGCAAATTGCTATTAACTTGACACAACTAACACTGGATGTCTTAACTGTTTAGCTGGATTCTACTTAGATGCCTCAAAGGTTTGTTAAGAATGTGTCTCTCCATACAATAATGTAAGATAAGTCAATTAACCCTTAGTTTGTTTGTGGCCTCAAACCAGTAAGTCCAACCAATCCAGTAGACCCAGGAAATAATAACAACAATAATTAACCACCAACTGACACAACTATCCAAATTGGATAAAATCCAGCTCCACCAAGTTCATATTCAATTATATTGGGAATGCTAATAATCATAGTTTTATAATGAGCATTTTTAGATAATCACAATTATATTTTAAATAAGGTTTATGTATATTAAGTTTGCAATAATCTTTATTCTGATTTTCACATCCTTCACTTAAACAACTGGACAGGATTGCACTGAGTTAAGTTGCATAGCTACTGGTGCCCTCAAACAACAGTACACAACAAGAGTGCCTTAAAAGTGTATGGAAGGTATACTAGAGGATAATGAATTAAATTAGGGTATTTTTGGGGAGGACAATCTTGCTAACCTTGTAAACCTATTTAGGGTGGACATTATGCTTGCACGTCTTATTGGGGAACTGGTACATTATATTGTTTATCTGGATGGACAATTCTAAATGGGTATATAATATAAAATACGTACATAGGGTTTGTGTGAATTTGCCCAATGGATGCTTAACCTACTAGTTAAATCAGGATTAGAATGCTTATGTTTGTGGTTCTTGCGATACTGGATTCACTCTGATAGCAGGAGTGTGTGTATAAAATTAAGAATGTGTCACTTACAGCAGTACTAGATATGTTTGTACTTAATGCCAATAGGGATACTATTTAAATTGGGATTATATACCTGATGTCTCCTCTGCTAGTGACAACTATTATAATTATTTTGGCAGCTTTTGTAATCCTTGCAGTATTCCAAGTTGTGCAAATTGTCCCTCAGCGTAATCATATGCTTTAAACTTAGTAATACTTGTACTTAATGCAAACCTGGATTCTTTTGGTCATTTAGTGGCTTAACATCCACTTCAGTAACATCAGGATCTGGAACATGTGAAAAATGTCTTGATAATTGTATAAATTGCACAAACAATTCAAATTGCACACAATGTTCTGATGGTTATTATGCAAATACAGTTAATGGTATAACAACATGCTCTTCATGCTAACCTTCAACAACTTGTGTGAAATGCAGCAATTCAACAACATGTACTTAATGTCTAAGTGGTTATTAATTATTAAACCCAACTTCCTGTGAGAAATTGTATGATGGCTGCACTTAAATGGATACGAATAAGAATTGCACATCTTGTTAAAGCAATTATATATTGAATGCATAATCACCAAAAACTTGCACACCTTGTGGTACAGGATGCGCAACTTGCTAATTAAATAATAATATAGCCACTTGCACTGCATGCCAAGAATTTTACTATGCAACCAAAGATTCCAATGGAATAGTCACTTGTGCTGAATGCAAATCCTATCCACAATCAACTGGCTGGCTGAGATGTGGAGGTCCAAATGATAATCCATCATACACAACGGTTTAAGCAACCCAATGTATTGATGGCTATTTCTTGGTTAATATCACAACCAATAATATCACCACACCCACTTGTATTGCAGCCATTCCTTCATCAGCTTGCCTGACACTAACCACTACATCCACTAACACAAATAATGTCTGTGCTACATGTGTACCTAATTACAGTCCCTATATTGATGGAACATGTTTATCTTGTCCTCCTCAATAAGGAGCCAAAACACAACTCTCCAGTCAATGTAATAAATGCAGTGGATCATCCACAACCAATATCTCTTGTGCTGGATGTAGTCAAAGATATTTCCTTTAATCTGCAAATTCAGCAGTGTCAGCCACATGTGCCACTTGTTCAGCTAGTGGTGGGTGTCTTGAGTGTTAATCCAATCTTAATTGTACTAAATGCGATGTTGGCTACTATAAGACTGGGGATTCTAACAATTCTGTTTGTCAACCTTGCCTCAAAAATTGTGCTGTTTGCACTGATTCAATTGTATTCTTAAATCATATTGTAGAAATGCACAACTTGTATGGATGGCTACTTTGCTTACACTGGTTCATAAACAGCTTAATCTGCTTGTGTGGCTTGTTAGTTTGGATGTGCTACCTGTAATAACCCTGGAAATTCATGTTAATCCTGCATTGATGGATATGTTCTCTAGAGCGGTGGCTGTGTTCCTTTGAATTAAGCCAATTGTGCCGTCAAACTCAACTCTACAACAACAACAACTATTCAAACCTATAATTCAAATGGCTGTAGCATATGTAAATATGGATTTCATATGATATCCAATCGTTGCTTTTAATCAGTTCAACCTTATGCAGGAGTATTTAATATCTTATCTTTAGTTTGCTTATAAGCAATTAAGCGAATAAACAGTCATTAATGACACTCCACAATTTGGATTTATTTTGACATCGATATTCATAATGTTACAATTCATTATTTGAAAAGGGATAATGCAAATATATAAATTATACAATATTAATCATTTAAAAAGAGTACTATATAATTCACTGATCTTTAACTCCCCAGATTTAAATGTCTTTTATAGTAATTGATCGCTCCTCATCTTTCTATGTCTAAATGACAACTGCAATTTGTACAAGTTAAATGTATCGTTCTATTCAGTTATTATTCTCTTCGGTTCATTATTCTTCTTTAAGGCATCTCCATAGAGCATTTTTAAATCAGTCAACTAACTCAAATTTATTATAGTCCTTAACTTGATCTACTTGGACTTCACTCTCTTTGTGAAATCTTCAGATGATTATTTGCTATGAATCTTAGCAGATAATAACTGCATTTGAGCATGTTCAACAGGAGGAGAACGTTCTTTTGATTCCTTTGGTGAATTCAAAGGATGTGTATGAGCAGTCTTTTTAACAACTCTATCCTCCTTGAATATTTTATCAATCAATTTCTAATTAAAGCTCGACAACTTCCTTTCTCTAACTGTTTTCACTATCTTCTTCTCCTCCTACTATTGTTCAGGTTCCTAAGACTCCAAAATTTCAGTTTGTTACTTTAAACTCTCAAATGGTTTAATTTAGGATGGACTTCGAATTATTAATGTTGGTGATTCCAATCCACTCGATTAATATGTTTTGCCCTGTTGTAAACAAGTAAAATCTCTGCCTATCATCATTGAAGAAGCCATTAATTTTTTGGAATTGCCCCCATTCCCTCCACTTATCTTAGTATAATCCCTTTTTATTATCCCTTTTGGGAACAATTTGGAGGGAGCCTAGAGTGTGCTCTGACTTTTCCTCAACCAAGGATGACCCAATACCTAATAAGCTGAATATCTCTCATTTGGATCTGGGTGTAACATCAATTGAACAAGTTCCTTGTATTCCTTGCTCAAAGTAATGTTTGGAAACTAGTAGTTTAATTTTAGGATGTTCTGAACAGTCTACTCTTATATTGGTCGAGTAAAGGGCAGAGTGCCACACACTAGAGCAAACAATATCACTCCCATTGCCCATATGTCTATAGATGGTCGTATCTATTGGATTTATCCTGATAGCACTTCAGGTGGCATATAACTTAAACTTCCCAAATCTATCTTATCGATGATAAAGTTTGTGGCCACTGTAGCAATACCAAAATCTATGATCTTCACCTGTTTGTCTGTTTTAGATGTTAACAGAATATTCTCTAGCTTCAGATCTCTATGCACTAGCTTTTAATCGTGGCAATAACAAATGGCATCTGCAATTTATCGAAAGATAATGCGAGCCTCTTCTTCAGTAAGTTTCCCCTTCTCTAAATGATTACTCTATAACATATTACGTTGAATATAATCCACTAAGTCTCCTCCTTCCAAAAATTCCATTATTAAAACTACCTGCATACTTGGAAGTGTATAGCAATTGATTATCTTGATGATGTTTTTATGTCTTAGATTTTTCATTACTTCTGCTTCTCTAAATACCAAGTCTATATCTGCAGCATTCCATAATTTCCCTGAATCGATAATTTTAATAGCAACAAACTCTTGAGTCAGCTTATGCTTGCCCAACATCACTTTACCGAATCCTCCTTCCCCCAGGGTCTTGATAATCTGATAGACACTGAATTGGGAATAAGCATCAAAATCTCTAGCTAAAGGTGAACTTTATAGGAAGAATGAAATTACAATCGGAAACGTAAAGCAATGTGCCATCTTTCAGAAACATCAGATCTTCCTCAAAGATCTCAACCCCTTATTAGGTAAACAATCGAAGTCGATCTAATTCTATTGAATAGAAATGTTCAGCCTTCTTTTTAATATCTTTCATACTGATCTGATTATTATTAAGCTCATTTTACTAGCGAATACTCCATTGTAATGATCGCACTATTCAAATCTCCATTAAGTGTTAGCAACAACTTTTGTTTGCGATTCTCTTCAAAATAATTATCATAAATGTCTAACATATTTATAATAATCAAAAATAAAAATTATATCAAACTTATCAGGTTCTGTACCATTACTCAATGGTAAATCATTAACGAAAATCTGTAGTATGTATGATATTTCATTTTAATTATATTGTATATTATCATTATTAAACCTCAGAGAGACCTATTTGTTTACAAAATGACCATACTAGATGATCATATTTACTGGAACATTAAATAAATTGATGATTTTAATATATTTTATATATTTATTTGTGTATATATTTCAATGTGATTCTTTCTTGCCTGGTAACAACTTAGACAAAAATCCATGATCATTACTCTCGCCCTCTGGCAATTTGAAGCTCTTCTTGATCTTGTAATAGGGGGGTCCCCAATTCTTTTCCAAGTAGATGTCTATGAATGCTTTCTTGAAGTTCTTGCACCAATTATAATATCTACATTATTATTATTATGAATCATTTACCTTAGAGAAGCCAAGAAGCCTCCATTTGAGAAATAAAGGTTGTGCCAAGCATTCTCATTGTTATATTTGTGACATAAGAATGTTAAGGTATTTTATCCTAGCAAAATTGGTACTTTACTATATCCATCGTATTCTGCATTTAGTGACTTGCCTGCAATGTTTCTTTCGATATTATTTCTAACAACGTGAAGCTGATGGAATCCTGCCCAGAAACAATTTGTTGTAGGAACATCATTTACATCACCAAGACCGAAAATGTTCTTATATTTGTTGTGCTATAAGGTTTTGATGTTGACATCCAACAATCCCTTTGATGTGGTGAGACCAGCCTTAACTAATTAGTCATGAGGCTTTGTTGGTGCGACTGCATACAAATGATTGAATGGTCTTGTCTATCTGTTGCCAGTTTTAACATCTTCAAAAGTTGCTGTATTTTGTTATTTATTCACTTCAACCAATTTCAAACCATACTCAACGTTGATGTTTCTTCTTTTGATTTCCTCCTTGAAGAATTAATCTCCTGCGTCATTGTACTAAACAAATCGCTCATTTGGTTAAATAATTGTGAGTCTCTTTATTGGCGATTGACGACCATTTGCTGTTTACCATTCCCAAATCCTTTAACTCAACAGGAAATTGTAAGATTCAACTTCTCCACTGAATGGGAATTAAGGAATGCAGAAATATGCTTCACCGTGGTTGAAGTTGTAATGCCATCTTGTATATTTATGATTTGATGAACGCCAACTTGGGTGATCAAGATTCGTGAACACTGGAGAATCAAAATCTTACCAAGCCTCTTCGAATCCCTTGATTGCATCATAATTCACTTATTAACCTATAGAAATGTTAACATTTATATTTAATACCCATAGCCACAACTAATTAGCCATAACCGATACGTCTGCCATTTCTCAATATGATGGCATTCTCTTCTGGCAAGATTGTTTGGGATCCCACTTAATCTGAGTGAGCTGTGTACATATTAAGTGACAATTTGGCATTTAATAAGAAATCTGTCTTTGCTGTCTTCTATTGTTCATAGATCTATCTGATTGGTGTTATTTAATTGATATTCTAATCCAATACTACCATGGTCTTGTATTTTCCATGTGAAACCTAATCAATTATCAGAATATCCTAATACCTTATCAAGTTGTCTGCTTAAAACACCACCCAAATTACATCCGATAATTACAACATCATAATGATCAAGATCTTTCTTTGTAGGTTTACGCTTATTAAACACACCCGCAAAGTAGCGAGGTGTAAGCGAATGCCTCAATTGCATTCCAGATATTAGCATTTTTAAATTAATCAAATAATATACACTAAACTTTCATATCTCAATGATGTTTTCGGCATTACTTCATAAATTAACTTCGATTTGGAAATGCAAAATGTCCAGAACCATTTAGATTATTTAGACTATTTTTCCTCAATTCATAAAATAAAACTATAATCTAACTAAAAATGACATTTATTCCAAAATATTGATGCATTTCTAAATTTGAGATTCTAGACTTTCTAAAAAGCCAAGTGATAGGAAATCCTGTAATATCAATGAGTTTAAATATATAAATTGAAATCCTTTTGATAATTGGAAAAAAAAGTATAAGAATTTAATATTACTATTAATCTATTTGATGTATGAAATAAAGATCTTATCTCCTTGTAGTATTAAGAAATATATTATTAGGTTATAGTACTTCTTTTTAGTTTCTAATATATTAGAATCACAAATAAAGAGGAGTATTATATAACTATAATTTTTATGAAATATCTATGAAATTCAATTAGAATAAAATTATTAATAATAGGAGAATTGCTAATTCTCTATTTTATATTTTTTTAAATAATTAAAAAGTAATTTAAGGACTTCAATAGAGATCCAAAGTTGTTTAAGTATAATTTCAGGATTTAGGAAATTATCAGAATTAACCAAGGAATTTGTTTAGAAATAAAATAAAGTCAATGCTCATAGAGTAACCAAACTGTTAAATACAATTTAGATTAAATCAGAGGATAAAATACAAGATGGAAAAAAGATAATTAATCAAACATAATTTCGATTGATTAATCTAACCTAAACAGCAACACTTTCCTTTCAGATCTTTTTCTTCTAATTTAGAAATTCATTTTATTTCAATTTAATTTTGCCAAAGAAATATTTATTATATAAATTATATTGGAATTAAATTGGTCTATTTAATCAAATACATTTTGATGGAACTTAGAAAATTACAGAACAACGAAGAGAGATTGAGTCACTAAACTAAGTGTAAAAGAAATAAAATTATTAATTGGATTTGATTTATATGGAGTAATATGTTGATTTTCAAAATTTTTCGATAAAATAGTTCATTAAAATGTATGTATTTGTAGTAATAATTAATTAGTTAGGTTAGTATATCAAAATATCTAACTCAAACATCAAAATATATTTTTAGAATATATTACATAATAATTAAATATACTTTGTTAGATTATGTGTTATTTTTTCCATGTATTTAATTAAATTTATTGAATATATAATAAAAAATATTTGAGCAATAAAATTGAAATTAGTAACCCTGATTTAAATGAAAAGGAATTCTTATTACTAACTCAGTCTAAATAATATGCTCAGCATATGTTGAGTAAAATATTTCATTTTAAATACTCACAATATTCGATTTCTATATTTTTTATATTCTTGATCATTAATTTGATTGAGAAGACAAACAGAAGAAACTCTTGATATTCATTACTTATTGAAATCTGTCTTAAATTTTGATAAATTCACTACTTTTATATAAATTTAAAGTTTAATTCTTATAACAAAATAAGCGAATAAACTCTTCAGTCAAATAAACAACAAAATATCCTCTTTTTGTTATTGTGTAATCAAATAGAACCAATCGATGTATGATATACCAACATGTTTATTTTTTGAATGCTAGTATAAAATTCAAAATTTCTTTTTGCTATCAACTTAAATTTTTCGAGGTCGAATTGTTTTATTTTATTTTACTCTAATTTTTGAGGCTCCATTTAATTCTGTGAACTCCTGTCTAATAATGAATCTATTATTTGCTTTTTGATTAAAAGTTGGAATAGAAATACAGTTTTGCATTGATTTTAATTTGATGATAGTGAAAATCATAATGTAATCGTTGGAAAAAATTGATGAAGACCCCATTAAAAATAGAAAAACTACCACAACATAAGGGTATTATGAAGATATCGGAAATTCAGAAACAGTAAAATATAAGTTTGGATGGATTAAAATCTGAATGAATCTTGATCTCTATATTAAATGATGAATATAGACAAAATTGACTTATAATATATCAAGTTCTGGCTTTCTTGATTCTTTTGGCTAAGGCACATTTATATTTTAAAAGATTTCTATAAGAAAGTACATCATTGGATGTTTCAAGGACTAAAAAATTTATTCGTTATTGATAGATCTCCGTCCTCTTAACTGTTTATGCTTCTGAAGCTACTTCTATATCATCATTCCATAATGAAATTGGCCCATCTTTGTTGAAATTTGAATTCATTTGTTTGGTTTAATTGTGAAAATGGTCTGAGTTGAGGAAAATTTTATTTAATAAATAAATAAATAGGAGCTTGAAAGAAAATCAATTTAAATACCAATTTCAACTTGAAGATCAAAAAATTTTGTGGATTTTCAGAGAGCATAATATTCTGTATTACTATCAAGAAAGATTTTCTAAGAATGTCAAACATATGAAATATTTAAAACGGATTTATAATATTTAAATTATGCCGCTAATATTAGTATTAAAGAAAATTATTGATTATTCATAAAAATATGTTATTTACTAAGATATCAAGTTTTGAAATAAAAATATTCTATATCACTTCTATATTTAATCTCTTTCTCTTTTTTATAAAATGAAAACATATCCTTACGATTAAGAATGATAGAGAAAATAATAAAATACATAATAAATAATATCAAAATTCTGCACCACAGAATAAGCAGAGTAAATCAGAATTTTGATGTCCCTTTGTTATTATATCCTTTAAGGAATGAAAATCTATCTCCTTATCATATGGAATATTCACAGAATCAAATATAACTCTGGTGAAAAATTCAGATATATCATTCAAGAAATTTGTATCTTATGTCTTGACTATCTTGCTCATGGTTTGATGGCTTAATTTAGAAACTTCAGGATAAGAGAGTTTCCCATTTCTATCCATATCAGCTATTTTGATGAATAAGTCAATGCGCTCTTCCTTAGTTTTGGCTTATACTGAACTCATCAGGAATAAAAATTGCTACCAATCCAAAAACCCAGAACATCTAGAATCTATAATATTAAATATTCCTTTAGCCATATATTCTGATTAATCTTAGATGTTTTCTATTCCTTATCTGTAAAAATCGTATGATATCCCTTTAGTCAACTTATTTTTTTCTCTCTTTTATGTTATAGCAGTTAAGAGTTGAAGCACTTTAAAAAATGAATAAAAAGCGTACAATTAAGCTCTATTCAGCTTATATTTAGCTTAGATATCTGGTATATTCATTTCAGTGAGTAATGGAATGCTTTCCAACCAATTCTGTTCATCTGAAAAATAATTCCTTGGTTTAAATTTGTTTTTTTATTATTCTTTATCTAGAATCAATTGTAAAGGGTGACTAATTCTTTTAGAAAGTGTCTTTGATTCAAATGCTCTACTTTTGGGAGTAGGATATTAAATTTGATCATAAAATTTAATGATCTTTTTTACATCATCAGTTTTTTGAGATAATTAATTATGCATATTTTCAATGTAATTTTGTAATTCTTCTTCACATTTTTCCATGTTTTCTATAAAATATTTCTCTTATTTATTCATCTTGATTTTGCTTGTGAAAACAAAACTAGATTTTTATGTCTTTGGCGATAGAAAGGGTCTTGAAGATTATACACTAGTGGTTCTTGTGTAATTATCATAAACTGATTGTAAATTTCTCATTTCTTTGGTTAAAAATATCCCTCTATGAGTAGTGGGAGGTGATTTTGGCACATCTTAATGAACTGATATTAGAGAGAGACATGATTTTAATTTGCATACGGGTATTTATTACAATCCTTCATTGGAATGATAGCTTTATGAGGCTCCTCTATCAATCTTGTTGATTTATTTTATATAGTGATCAAATGGGCGAACAAATAACCAGAATAGATTAGATCTGGTACTAAACAAATAAGTTTTGCTTGCCTTTGAATAGTATTTTATTTAGTTGCCATAAATGTCATAAAAAAATATAGTCTTATTCAAGATATTTCTCTCCTTCAAAAACTCATTCAATTCCATTTTGATGAGGGTGTCTATTTTATATTTGATCAATTGTTTAAGATTTATTTCGATGTGCAAAGGAGTGATTTTCTAATCTGTTAAAATATCGTCAACATATATAGCTAAGATCTTTTCTTTTTGAACAGGGATTTGTTCATTATCAATAAAACCCCATTAGGATTGTCTTTATTGAATTTTTGAATTGCCTGTGATCATCAATCGAGCCATTTTTAATATAATATTTTAATCAACAGAGTATAATAAATCTCATTTAAAATAACATTCTTAATCAGCAATTTAATTTCAATTAACCGGTAAAGTCGTGTTGATGATTACATATTAATAAAAATATTAATTATTTTCATTGTATTTCTATCTATGGATCTTCATTGATCTACCAACCTGTTAAATCAGCCATAGACTAGAAATGAGTTAAAATTTAATGGTTTTAAGTATTGTGATTTTATTTTTACCCTAAAATTGTTGTCAATAATTTTTGTTTTCGTTTCATTCTTTCAAACGGATACCATGGTTTAGTTTCCTTTTGAGATTGCCTAACTTATCCTCCTTTTTTTAAAAAATGCTATTGTTTTATCATATTTAGATGTGTATCCAAATTCAAACTTCTTTTTTACCTCTTATTTTCAAGAGTGAGTTGCTTATTATTCGAGGCAATTCTGTGGGAATGGATAACCATAGGTTGGCAGAGTTAGCTCATAAGGATCTTGTTATCCTGTAGCTGAAGTATCGATTACTAAGACTCCTTTGTAGTTTCTTACCCTAACTATTTAACCTACATACGATTCTTCGCGATTAATTTTATGACATCGGTTTTGGAGTTTATGGCGGATTGATTTGTTTATTTTGTATCATTCTAATATTTGATCTTATTTGTAAATTGTGAATAGTTTCCATGTAAATACAATCCGCCGATTAGCTATCCTTGTATTTCTTCATTTAAATATAATATTATATTATAAGTAGCAATTAAGAAATTCATATGGGAGTGTGTAGTAATAATAAATCAACCGGAGATCTTAAACTGAATATATTTCTGAAATCTCTGCTTTATCACAACATAGATAAATAGTTTACAGCCCCTATTGGTACCATCAAGGATGAACCTTAATTACAAGCAGAAAATTTCAAAATATAAATATGGAATCAATTTGAAGCCTTAAGAAAAGTTAGGGAGGATAAGAATTCGCTGTATAACATATTTGCTTTCTTTGCATTTAAATAGATTGTCGAGAAAAATGATTAGGTTTTGCTATAAAAAATGTAAGCGGTATCCCCGTCTTTAGAATGGTAAGTATATGTGCAAGGAAAACAAAACTTAAGCAACAAAATGAATTTGAAAAATTAATTCCTCAATTTGCTGGAGAAGGTTGTAAAAGAAAATTATCTTTTTGAATTGTATTATTCTGATATTAAAAACAATCGTAACTTCTATGTGTTATGTATAATATTTTTTAGAAACTGGGCTTTTGATATTGCATAAAAAAACAAAGCGAAACTAAGCAACCCAAATGAAATACATAAAATCTTAGATTGGACTGTTCCGTTCAATTTGACGGATTAAATACTACTTGGAGAAATAGTTTAAAATATGAACTTGTAAATTGTTAATCTTATATTTATAGAAAAATTAATATTTTCGATACAGAAACTCAATCCCATTAGCTATTTGGAACAGCATAAAACGAAAATTATATTATCAAAAATTAAGATCAACTTTACATAGGCTTGCCCAAGCAGTATTTTAGTAGAGTTAGGCCTTCTGCCATTATTTATCAATTATACAAGTACACAAATTAGGCTAGAAATGTAGCTGCGGAATAGTAGAGATTTGTAAGCGAAGATTTAAATTAATAAGACTTAATTTATGAGTATTAAATGACTCAAGCAATGTTTCAATAAATCAAACTTAGAGGTTTTAAAAGAGTGAGAGGAGATGGAAACTGCTTCTACACAGCCTTCATCTATTAGTATCTATCAATAGTAATAACAAAGTTTGGAGATTAAGACTTTTTACAATTTGTAGAAGTTTTACAAAAAATTGATTTCAATCTTACTCACGAAACTATTTAAAATTTCCCAGTTGAGATTAGAAAGGATCTAAAGTAAATATTTCTCAGTTTTATTTATGAAATAATTGGAAGTAACAATTAGATAAAAACCTTTGAAAACGAGTTTCAAAATACCAAAAGTATCTTTTATGCATTATCCATTATATATGCAAAAAATTTGATTCATTATTTTGTCGAACAAAAGTAACCCAATTCTCATATTTAGTTCTGAATATAAAGTGTTATTGGGAGAAGAAGCAGAAGAATAGATTTAGCAATGGGAACTTGAAACCGATAACATTTAAGTGCTGCTTGTGATTTTAGCCAATTGTTTAAATCTTATTCTTCATTTCTATTTCATTGACTCTGATAACAAAACAATTGATTTACAACTCTATTAAAAATCATAGAATGAACTTACATTACTAAAATAAAATGTTTATTTACTATTTTGCCCAGGACATTATTGTATAGGATTACCTGTAGAAAAACAATGATTTTGATAATAACTATTCCGCATTTTTCAATAAATTACATATAATTTGATTTATTAATTATTTTTTGCTATATTTTATTTAATTCAATGATTTAAAAGTCCAAAGATTAAATATGTTAATTCTTCTCTAGTAAGAACTAAGCTAATAAGAACTAAAATTCTAATGATGAGACATTAAAAAAAAAGATCGAGGAAAGAGCTTTTATTTTTAAAAAAAATAAAAACGATAAGGACTTTTAAGTTCTATAAGAAGTCTATACTGAAGCCTATAAGAGTAAATAAATAGATGATTGCTATAAAAGATTCATCAAAAGTATAGGATCCAATAGTTAGTTATTTAATTATTATTCTATCAAATAATTATAAGAAAAACATAAATTGCTAAAGTTATGTAGTAAATACAGGGAAGTCAGAGGTGATGGCAATTGCTTTTATACCGCCTTAGGCTATAGATTTTTATAGATATTGTTGTGTGAATACAATCTAGAGGAATTTATTTTTTTTTTGGATAAAATAGAGGAAATTGACCTACCATTTAAAGTATATTGCAAGCAGATAACGATACCAGAAGAAATCCAGAAAAATTTACTAAATGAATTTTTATCACGATTATGTGAGATTAGATTAATTGAAGACAAGAACGAAAGACTTGATAATTTGATGGAATAATATTCAGCCTATGAAACTAAGGACAATATTGATGGTTACTTTTTCGCTTTAACAACAATCTTCTTTCGAAATATTTCATATTATGTAGCAACAAAAAGTGAGATGGCGGAAAGTATCACTGATATTAACAATCTATTAATTTGGGGAGAGGAATGCAACAATAATGAGATAGTCATCAAAGAACTTTCAGAGTTCTTGAGAGTGTAATGAGTTATGTTTAAATATTATAGAATGATCGTTTTGGTGTTCGTAAATAATGGTACTATTTCAAGCATCGAATATTCTGGGGAGCTACACTACCATCAAATATTACTTCTTTTCCAGCCTGGACATTATAATATTGGATTTGAATGAAATTATATATAAATTATATCAAGAAAACTTGGATTTATGATGTCCTTTAATTAGTTTTGTTTTGAAGGCATTTTTGCTTGAATATACACCTGATGATAGCTATTATTATTTGAATTCTTAAAGATCAGTTAGAATATTATAATTATCTTCTTCTTCTTCATCGTAGTCTTATTATTAGAATACATCTTTATATTCTGAGTCATCATATTTTTTTGGATCTTGATCATTTTGATTTTGTTAATTCTAATACGTGAACTGTTTTTATTTGAATTATTCATATGTCTTCAAAGCATTCTTTGCTCTACTCAAGGCCTTCTCTTTCTTGTCTTCTTTTTCTGCTTAAATTTATTATTGTTATTATTCCTTTTGCTACTTACTACCATATAATCGATCTAATAATTGTTGTTTAGATGAACTGATTTATCCATCAGTTTTTTCAACTTTAGTTGGAATAATTGTGTCTTTGAGTTCTTCTAGTAACTCATTAGCTTCTTGTTCTGCAGCATCTGCTCTAGATTTTTCATCTATTCTGTAACCCCAATTGACATCGTGACCCAGAATTAATGCTCCTATTTTTGAGATTTATCCATTTCTAAATGCCCAAAGATAACAACAACAATCAAATGAGGATGTTGCAAAATGTGATCCATCTTTACAGACTTCGATATAAGTTATGCCATCCTAATGAGCCTTTCTTTGATATCCAACCTCCTTAATGTCTCCAATTAAAAATATCTATTAATGTTTGATTATTTAATACTTAAGCAATGTCTTCTTATCCATAATCCATGGCTGTTACAAATGTATCAGCATCGTTATTCTTTCGTGTCTTTATCTTTTACTCTACTTAATGTAGATCCACTTTATCTAAGACTTGTTTAATATTCCAAATTTTAAGATTACCTAATTCATCACCCAAATATAATAAATTATCATGATAATTTATTGAAGTCACAGGAAACTATTGATAGATGTTAAATTTACTGTTTCTTCTTAATTAGTCAAAGAGATGGCTTTATATGTTTTTTACAATAATAATTTTGATTTGAATTTGCTTTCCAGAACTCCTATGAAATACACATTTCCAATAGAATCAACACTTACAATGCAATTATGGGACTCCAAAAACATTACTTTTTTCAACTCATATTAACATTTCCAAACTAATTCTTGTCTGTATGAAACTAAATCTATAATGAAGATAGCTCCATCATCAGCACAACTAACTAAATGTTCGCTATCTTATTTAACATGTAATGAATTAACACTCAGATGATGTTGTTTCATTTTGTATCTACATGATTTGTGAGCATCTTGAGAGTCTTCATCATGAATGTTGACAGTATCCTCTCTGCTGCAACTAATGACTCTTCTATTAGTATCATTGCTCCAATGAGCTAAATCAGTGATCATTTTGTGATGTCTTTCAAATTTTTTCATTTTAGCACCATTTTTAATATTGACCGTGAATATTCTACCCTCTGCATCTCCAATAAACAACTTCCTCTATCTTGCATCAATAATCATAGTAGTTAATTCAGCAGCACTCAATTCTCTATAGACTTATTGCAATTTCCCAGTTCTAGCATCCCAAGTTTTAACACTATCAGGATGAAGAGTGATAAAACATGTGAGAGTTTAATTATATAAAACTTTTAAACACATTTTCTCATCTGTCAACATCTAATCTTTGGGCTCATCATATTCATAAAAGAACATCTTTCTTGCACCTACAACAATCTATTTTTTTGGATAGGTTAATGTAAATGCTTAGATTTCATCTGCAGGTACATTGAATGTTTAGATTTATAAGAAGTTTCTGACATCCCAGACTTTCACCATTCCGGAAATATCTGCTGTCACTACTTAAGATGTTCTAGGCAAACATTTTACTCCAACCAATGGATGATTATGACCTCTAAGTAAGAAAATCTTTTCTTTTACATAAGTATTCCACACAAATGCTTCGTGATCCAATCCAGCACTTATCAAACACTAATTCATTGGACTCCAATCACTCCAATCTAAACTATACACACCTTTTTCATGTCCTCTTAATTCTTTCTTAGGCTGATGTGTAGCACTGTCCCACAAACAAATATTACCATCCAAACCACCTGTCACCAAAGTATTCTACTAATCTATTGCTAGTATATCACCAATAGGAGACGAGTGTCCGTATTATTGGGAGTCTCTTTTAATAAAAGGGTTCCAACCTGATAACGTCCCTCTTTCTTTTAAATCGTATGTATCATAAATATGAATTATAGAATCTGATCCTCCAGTGTATAAGAAATTAGATTAGGAGGAACTCCACCTTGCATACCTCATACACAATTATATTTCTGGGACGGAGAGAATTTACTTTAGGTTGAAACTGCTTGAGTCCCAGAAATTTATTGTTAAATCATTACTGCTACTCGCAATTAAATTTTAATCAGGAATAAATTCTGCAGATAATACATATCCTTTGTGAGCATTTACATTCCAAATTAATTCACTTGTGTTTGAGTTATACACCTTAAATTTAGGGGACTCTTTCTCCAAAACTAAAAGCATTTTCAATCTGTCAAAGAAATATACTCTATCGATCACTGTCTCATGCTTTTGTTCATCTTTAATGTTTTCTGCTGGATGATAACTTTTTATTACATCTTTAAATGATCTGTCATTTCTTAATAATCCTAATTCAATTATGTGATTGCTAAATTCCACCCATTCCATTGTACCATCACCATTAACATCTATTTCTTTAAATAATTCAATTAATGCTAACGTTATTTTCTTAGTCTCCTCTTTGGAATCCTTATTGTAATCCAAGTGCTCCAACATGACTTTGAGAAACTGTTAGATTGTCAATCCCTATCCTTTTGAATTTTTATCTGGAAAGCATCTTTCTATTACTGCCATTTTCTTCTTATGTAATTTCTCCATAATGTCAATTTCTTTCTTTTCATAATCCTAATCATAATCCTCATAATCTTAGTTCTTCATTATTTTTTTACAATTATTAACAATAATAAATTAATTATAAACATATATGTGTAACCTTGATTTAATATTATCTTAGCATTCATCCTACTGTCCCCTGATATGTGATGAAAGAAATAGAAAATGTTATTAGACTTAATTATTATACAAAAAATAGACATATCGATTAAATTTATATTATTTTATAATATGATAAAAAAAGAATGCAACAAAAATATATTATTACAAAAAAATCACTTTTTGCATGGAAGGGAAGATGCCCAAACTGAAATAGTCATTAAATATGCAAACAAATAATTTAGTTTCAAAGCCTATAATTAGAAAATCCATTTTTCTTACGATGAATTTATATAGACAATCAAAGTTCTTTCATAAACTAATTCCAATTTCTTTCGTTGTTACAATGAGATTTAACAAAGTAAGACGGAAGAGGAGGAAATTTATCATATCTCATAAGCCTTATAGTATTATTAGGACATCTTCATATATAAAGATAACCAAATATTGTTAATTGATGAATATCAAAGGTTTTAGAGATTAGAGTTAAAAAGTAAGATTTTAAAGGAAAAATAGAAGAAGCTACCCATTGCTAATTTTTATAAAAAGAAAAACCTCTAAATAGCCAAATTCCAACCGTTAACTATTATAAAATTAGAACAAGATTATTGTATATTATACTAAACTTGCAATTAATATTATCTCAAATTCCAATAGTCTAAGAGAATTACTAATAAACTTAAAATATTACCTATAGTAGAGTAGAAATTTGGAAAAATCAATAAGGATAACTTTTATGATATCTTCTCAATTCAAAATGAACAACTCGAATACTCTGATTATATTTATAATCTTTGCTAAAATGTTTAAGAGCTTAAGATAGATAATAAATATCTCTCCTCAATCATTCGAATTCAAAGGTTTGTGCTTAGAAGATAATTCAAATTTAAGCTGTCCGTAATTCATAAGAAACAAAGGCATAAGATTTTATGGAGAAAATCCTTAATATGGGAGGACAGCGCCTTTTTTCTATTAATAGCATTGAACCAAGATGCTAATAATAATTAATCAATTTCAATTGAAGGGAAATAAATAGACCATTCCTTAGGAAGAGAAGTTTATGGATTATAACAAAAACTATTTTTACAGTATGAAATGAGAGATATTTTAATTACTACCAATAAAATGCTATAATAAGTCGAAATTGTTCACGAAGGATCAAATTTGAGACTGAAATCAGAATAATTTGATTAAATTTTCGGAAGAATATTCCAGTATGATCACTTTGAAATAGAATAAACATTGAATTTAAGGATTGCAAAGTCAAATTCATATCGAAATTAATATATCTAAAATGGGTTTATAAATCATTTACAATTAGATAACCAATAAGAAAATAAGCTAGATTAAAAAAATATAAAAACCCTATTTAAATTGTTTTACTTTTAATATCGGAAACACAAATTATAGAATATCGTCCAATATACCTCAAAAGATATACTATCATTTCCAATTCACTTTTTAACTGAATCAGAAATGGCAAACTTAATTTAACATGACAATGAGATGGATATTTAAAATATAGAAAATGAAGAACCCCGAATACAATATAAAAGTGTTTAATATCAATCGACTCTTAATGAATGGGATTTTATTCACTCTATAATGTTTGAAGAAAATAACTTCTAAAATTATGTATATAAAGTTAGTATTTACCATTCTAAAGAATTCTTCAAGAAATTAACATTGCAAATTTAAAGTATAAATTTATTCCATAAATATGTTATTTCAAGCATCTCAAATATGCATTTTAACAAAAAGCTGATTGAAATTGTTTATAATATAAATTCTAATCTAGCCTCAAATTCTTTTATTGTTAATAATGATATGATGCAGGAAATGGTGAAAAATCTAATGGTTTTCAAAATTTAAAGAAGAGTTAGATTCTTCTAATTCATCTAGCACTATCATATGAGAAATTCAAATTTTCTATTAAGAATCTCATACATTTT